ACTCATCTTTCTAAGCCTTTTGTGGGAGAAATCTATTCATAGGTTGATTAGTTTTTTTCGTCACACTCCAGTATACCATGTGCATATGATCTAAAGGCAATGTTGAAACCATATTAACGGCAAGTGTTTCGAAATTGGAATAGCTTTGATGGTTTATTGATTGAATCTGCTGACGAAAACTATCATCAGTTTGCAATGCATATTCACCATTTGGAAACCTCATCCTTCAGTCAATGTGCCGACCCACCACTACATGCCTATCGCAACCTGCTTTCCCATTGTGATAACTGTGTATGTAACATTCGAACGAGCTGGTGCGTCACGGATTACAGCAACCAGTTTAATAGCTATGTGTCTATTGGACTTAACACTATGAAGCCCCACGTCGCTCACGTGGGCCTTCCCACAGATATTTCTTTAGATTTGGCTGGCTTAGTATTCCCTCCATAGATGACTATCATGAACATGTTACTAAACCTTGGGGCAACGGTGCGTCCTAATATAGGTCATAATTGTTTACACTTCTAATACGGCTTGGTAAATCTTGTACAATGTCTCGAAAAGCATTCACAATGCGATCAGCATCTCTGATGGTTTGACGACCATTTGTCATCAAAATCATCAATGTTATATTTATCTGTTCTTTCCGGTTTACAGACTTCTGTGAACACAAATAAACGTCATCACATCCCAAAAGAAATGGATTAAAAAACTGACTAGCTGCATTTGATATCAGAATTCATCTTCTAACAACTATTTGTTTTAAGTCCAGTGATAATATTCAGCTGCCTAAACCTATAGAAGTATTTAGGGTAACGGAAGCTTGAGTCCATGTTCAAACCAGTGACCGAATCACGTTCAGTCGATATACTGACTGAAAGTGATTTGGTCGTTCCAGCATACTCAGCTATGGTACAACTTTGCCTCATAATGTATTACTGAGGTTTTCATGTGCATAAGGTTACTACAGATTAATGAGTGTCGGTGCTGAATCCACTGTTTTTGAATAATTAGCCAACAAAGTTCATATAAATATGTTTTAATTTAAAGGGAATTTTTCAGAAATATGGTAGTTTCATGAAAAACTTGTTCAGTCTTCTCATAAACCTAAAATATTTGATCGCACCATAATTTTCAGGTCAGTGTTAATTAGTAAGTGCATAAACAGATAAAAAGACTACTTGATTGACGAGAGACGAAAAATTACTTACGAATGTTTAAGATCCGACCAGGTTTTTCTAGTCATTTAATCATACAAATAACTCCGGCCTAACGTACAAATCCTAGTTACAGATAAACAGATTATTATGCTTGGTGCCTGTCCTCAATCGTGTCCACTTATTTATAGTATTGGTCTTTTGGTAGTAAATACCTTATTGTTTCACATCAAGGTAGTTGAATATAAGTGACTCATCATAGAAAGGTGATGCACAATTACTAAAACAATATAGTTATTATAAATTTACTTGAGGAAACCGAGATCGCAACTTCATTTTCTGGGGTAGCCGTAGCTTGAGGATAGTTCACAGTAGGTTTCTCTAGGATTGGATTTCGAAACTAATCTTTTTAATTAGTGAACAAATACGAACAGTAAGTAAACCCAGTTTTTGTGAATATTCTGCCTCTTGTATTCCAAAACACTACCATTTTTTTAACTGCTTGGAACCGCTTTATTCTGTTTTCATCGATTATACAAAAATTTTTTCTAAACATAATCAATTTTTGTTAGGTTATGTATAAGGCAAATAGTGAACTTGTATCTCAGTGGCTCACTGAAATAAGGGTTCTGGATGGGGGGTTTGGAACAGAAAGTCAAAAATTATCAAATTTACAAATAAGAGGACATTTAGCTTGGAGTTCCAGGTTATTAATGGACGACCCAGAATTAGTTGTTAAAATACACAAGTCGTAAGTTTTGTATTTCTGTTTATCAACACCTATAAATTCTATTCGAGTTGAACGGTACATTGCAAATATGAATTTATGCAGTTATAAAGTTTAAAAGCATTTGTGCTACATAAGGATACTGTGTGTAGTCTCAATTATTAAGAATTTGTAAGCTATTTTTGCTGAAAATACTACCCGTTAGCTGTAACCAACTCAATAAAATGATTTCATATAGATAGTTGTACTCATATTTTACCATCTGCCTCATAAATACACCAATAGAATTTCTATAAGAAATCAATGTTTTTAAACGGCAATTTTCGTTGTTGCAGGTTACAACTACGAAAAAACTTATAACTGCATAAGTAAAAATTTTCTGCATTTCGCTAATTGAAATCTGGGGTTGTGAATTCTTTTGTTTCCGATTCATAATCCCATCAGTTTAGAAATGTAAGAGATTGTATACTTTGAGAGAAGAAAGTCATTATATCACAGTTATCATGTTTAATTCAATTTGTAGATGGTATATCAATCGCAATAAGAGTAATCATCTAACACTCAACACATTCTGTCATGCTTAATTTTACATGTAAAAAGATTCACTGATCGGTCTCGCCGTCAGATCAACATATCATAGAGTATTATTATTATTTTAACACATTAGTTTAGGTACAGGGAGGCACCAAATACACATGCGCCACACAAATCTCAATTGATTTATGTGGGGGCTGTGATACTGCCTAGGTGCCCGAACCGAAGCAGGTGGTTTTCTTAGGGGGCCACACCCCGAGCCTTTGACCTGAACGTCTGACCCACAAGGCAGTGGAGCATCGTGAGGAGATGCAGTCCCATGGTAGCCGGTGACCAACGATTGGTTCATACGCCATTTGTTCCTTCAGGATACTGGAGCCCATGTGCACCATTGGTTTGGGGTCCGGTTAAAGCGCCAGACATTCGCTTTTCGTCCTCTCATTTTCGTAAACAACACCCCCGCCACGAGAAGGCAGTGAGTAGGACTTCCCTGGCAGAGGCTATATACGCATGGCCATGTGAGAGCATTTCGAGAGGGAGAGCGGACTCTCCCCACTCTCGGCCGTACCAAGGCATTTGGGGGCTATCATAGAGTAAGAACTTTGTGTCCTCAGTTTTTATATTTTAACTAACATTCCTTCTTAAAGTAATTGTCAGTTGAAAAGATGATTATGTCTAAAAACCACCACTTGATTATTATTAATCCTTGATAAGACATTTTAGTTACATTTGCTATACTACTGCAAAGTTTTCTGATCTTTTAATGCATCTTATATTAAAGCTTTTTGCGTGCTGGTTGTGATGTGATTTCTACGAACACTTATCAAGCAGCGCCTTCAACCTTGATGAAGGCATTTGGTATAAATGATGGAGAAGCGAAAGACCTTATGCGTACTGCTGTAAATCTAGCTCAAAGAGCGCGTGAGGAAGAAAATAATTCAGATAATGCAAGTGAATTCCAACGAAAATTGCCTGTTCTCATTGCCGGATCTTTAGGTCCATACGGAGCATGCATTGCTGATGGATCAGAGTATACTGGGTCGTATGCAAACAACGTTTCATTCACTGAACTAGTGGAATTTCACTTATCAAGAGCACAAATTTTATTGGAGTCAGGAGCAGATTTCATAGCATGGGAAACTATTCCACTTTTAAAAGAAGTTTCATCAATATGTGAAGTTATGCGCAAACTACCATCGGCATATTGCTGGATATCAGTTTCGTCACCAGATGGTAAAGAAACATCCGGTGGGGATTTACTAGCTTCAGTCGCGCGTGAGGTAGCAAAGTGTGAACAGGTACGTTAAACTCTAATCTAAAATGAAATTAAGATCGTTGTCTCATCAGATGTACATACAGTTTGTTAGACTTGGTGTTTTCTAGATGAATTTCGCTTCAACTGTACACATAAGCTATGTAAGCGAAATGTGCTAAGGAACAACCCCCCCAAATGTTCAAAATACATGTATTAGAACCAGAGAAATCTAAGTGATGTATTGTTAATTAATCCAGGGACAACACTTACCACTAATGGTACTATTCAACTGAGAAAACTGAAGTACATGATGTGGAGTTCTAATCTATTGCTTAATATTTCCTACGTATGTAATGATAATGGTAATGCTAAAATATGGATTAACTGCATGTTATCTATTATATATTATAATTTTGTTAACGATTTCAAGCATGTGTATACTTTATGATGTGATGTTAAACTGTTCATATCAGTGCTTAGTTGTATTTAGTTTATTACCAACTTATCACACACTAAACACTGATAATACACGTCCATCATTATACTACTAGGTTTTCGGTGTTGGAGTTAATTGTAATATACCACATGATTGTATTGGTAAGGGAATCGCTAACTTAAATTCAGAAAACACTTCAAGTAAATTACTATTATTTTACGCAAATGATGGTCGTTTATGTATACCTAATGATGACGATAAAAAGCAAGATCAGTTTGGTAATTATTCACAATACAATCATGAAAGTTGGTTTCAAAGCACCATCAAATGGGCGAAACGTCGTGAAATTTCAGATGATGAACACTTACATTATTCAGTAAATTATAAACCTCCTTTGGCTCAGTGGGTTGGTGGATGTTGTAATGTTGGACCTGAATGTATAAGACAGCTTGCAAAATGGATGAAACCTGATGAATTTATTTGCTGACTGATGCTTGATATTTGATAAACTGTTAATATTATATGACTGTACAAAAATGATTGTTTCAACTATCCTACTTCATTCATGCTTTACTTTGTATGAATTAAGCAGTTTTAAATGAACAGTTCGATGATTAAATATGTCGCAAGAATTCTGTACTTATTTAATGAACTTTGCGGTAAAAATTATAATTTATTGAAACGTGAATATTTAGGTAACTATTTTCACGTAACTCAGATTAAATGTATCGACTGATGCTGACCATTAATAGTATAACCTAGTATATATAACTAAATATGCATATCAAATGAAGATATAGAAATACGATAAAAAAGGAACATGTATTTTTCTGAAAAATTAAAGAATATATTTGCACATAGTAAATACAATACATTTGGTGGGTATTTTTTTTATGCTACAAGTTTTATACATCCTTTTAATAATTTCCACTCATTACAGTCACTTGGATACAATGGTTTCGGATAGAGTTTTGTTCCATCATGATAAGCAAGACTTGTATTTTTAAGACAAAAACAACATTATTATAAAGATGTTAAGGAGGGTCACATTTTTTCAGCTAAAAACGGTTTGTTAAATTGAACGATTCCACAAGAGACCAGCTTGCTGGTTGAATTGTGGATTCAAATACAAGGCTGTTAGTAACAGATTTTCCAGTTCGCACCACAGTTATTTTAGTGAGGCTTAACAAAACGTTCTGTCAAATTACAGAGTATGTCAATATCCTAAGCTAAAATCCCGTATAACAATCTCCATTTAGTGAGATTATATGAGATCCAAATCTGCTTAAAACTTTCAAAAATTCATGACCTAAGATCCTAGAATTTAACTGTTGACGGACTACAGTGAAATTAATGATGTCATATTATTGCGTTAGTTGGTGTTAATTGACCATCGGTTTGTCTAATATCTACTTGTAATTAAATCAACTATGAGGAACTCCATGTTCAAAAATGAGTACACTGCAAATGAGACGTGAACCAATTAGGATTCAAGTATTCGAAAGATTTGATTGTAGTGAATTCTATGAATACTTTACACAGATGAAAAATATTAGGTAGATTGTCAAGTGTGACAGTACTACACAATGAACTCTGACGAAAGCAATCAGAAATAGCTAATAGGCATTCAAAATAAAATAATGTCAGCTAATCTGAGGAAAGACAAAGTGCATTCTCAATGTTTATGAAGTTGTACTGTAGATGACGGCCAGAGTCTCGTTAGGATCCTTAAGACCGTCATAAACATATTACAATAAACTTATCTCTAAACATTTATTGTTAAGTACTGTGGTATGTGCAACGCATAATGTGTACTGCAAATAATGTAGTCAGTGTATACAGGTCAATCATATAGATCACATTTTGATGATTTTTTTATCGACATCTCAGGCTGAGAGACAGAATTATTATGTTATCTACAAATAAAATGCTACTCAAATCACTAGTATATTACCCTTCACTACTAAGTTAATTCAAGTCAGGGTTTCGATCTCAAGAACTTTGTGTATAAATGACAGCTTTCCTTCTCTAATTTATATTCAGTCAGTTGACCAGTAGTTTTTTTATCTTCATAACTATTTGTTTGAAATTCCAGTATCGGTTCTACAAACAAATTACCCTTGATCAATTAATTGTATCATCATAACAATATTTTGAAAGTCATTTGGGAGAACCTTGGAAAAAAGTTATCAATAATTAATACGATGTAAGGATACGGTAACCGGATAACCCACAAATATCCATTGTCTAATGTAACATAACCTGGTGATTGATATTTCTCACTACGAACGGTATCCGAATGTAAATTCGTGCTAGATTTTATACGATCTTCATAAAAATAACTATCATCATCAACTGGATGACTTTGATCATAATCTGAATCTATTACACTATCCAATTTTTTATCACAGCACTGATCTAATGTATGTCCTAGGTGAAAGATTGGAGTAAGTTTTGTTGGTCCCGGTCGTATACATGGTTGGAAACGGACTTGAATAGGAGCGGCTGGTATAGCTAAGTATATTCGTGATAACTGTGCCATAACAGATGAATTTTTTGTATAATTAGATGATTTCATTGTACTAGTATTACCACCTACATCCCATTCACTAGTAGGATTAGTGGAATGACGTGTATTACCGAGCAATACATGTGAGGTTGGGTGATGACACTGGCATAGCATGAAAATAGGTAGATCACGTGTTAACAATGAGTGAACGGCTCGTCGAACTTGACTGCTTTGCATTGGGCCATCCATAATTCGGTCGGTGCCAGTGATAAAGAATCGATGACCCATTGAACACTCCATTTCAAAACCAATAAATAATTTCACTGTATCTGATTCTGTATAGATATAATGAAGCGATAGAAAAAATCTTTAATAACTGTAGTCTCAGTCTGAAATTAAACATTCATTTTAAGCTTTATATTCTTAGAACACCAAGTGTTTATAATATTTTGAACTAACAACAAACGAAGTGATTACTGTTCTTACTCAAAATGACGAGCTCTCAAGACATTCAACAAATCAAACGTGTCGAATAAATATTACTAGAGGAGAATTATTTACCACGAGCCGAGCACATATATCCCAGATTTTACTCTGATTAAGACTGATTGATAGAGAAAATAAAATTCGTGAAAACATTTGTTTCATAACATTTTATAAACTTAGATCTCTAGATTCAAAAGATCTTTATTGCAAGAGAAGAAGATGGACTATCCAGTGAAAGTTGATCTCATCTTCTTACCGAAAGACGCGAGATACTGTTAGACTTTTCACATGTATTCTCCAGAGATCTGGTTACCTATTTACATTACATGAGGATTATAAATGGATTGATAGGTGTTATCCACGTTGTATACAATAGTGATTACTAGTAATTTGTTACTTGAAATGTTGAAAAATACGTAAACATCATATTTATTTGTTTTTCATTAATAATTGATACTTTATCTATGGTCGCCATTTTGATTAATTCTAAGACTAATCAAGTATTCTCATAAATGATAACCAATAAAATAGACTACAGTAATTTATGTTCAAGAAGGAAAGAGATTGAAATTGTAAATCAAAACCAACTGATTTCAGCAATGGTGTTATTGTAAACAATGTGCTGCAAAGTGGATTCGTATGGTAAAAATATAGTACTAAAGAATCTTGCACTAGGATAAATCATATTTGTTTACTGTTTATTTACTCCAATAGAATACTGTTGATATCAGTAATATTTTTAAAGCCAATCAGATGTCTAATATCTTACATAATATATGATGGACCCACAATTGTAAAATTACGTTTAGATTATATAATGTAGTTATTGAATAAGTAATATAACAATAACAGTGATAATCATAATATTCATTACCTGTTCTACCTCCTCGATATCTTCCTCTTGCGGACTTACTAAAACGTCCACGGTCAGAACCATTCCGGGCATTATTATTATTCATTAAGGATACATCCCACGGAAGTAAGAAATTACTGTTACGCAAAAATCCTCGGCAAGGTAATCCTATATGAGATAAAAAGTTATTTTTTCGTCTTATAAACACCATATATATAAAAGTAACCAGTTATTACACTTAAGTGGTACAATAACAGCAGACAATAATGAGAATAACGCTAATGCGTTGACAACTTCACTTATCTCGGAAGTCTGATCAGCCCTAATGGGTTGATGCCCGACGAAATCTCAGCACGGATTTGAGAAGCTCGTTTGGCTTTCGCCAACTTACGTCACCTATGGCGAAGACCAGATATCAGTCTATCAATAAAAGGACAAGTATACTACGCGGCAGTTCGTTCTGTTTTACTTTACGGCTGCGAAACATGGCCATTAAGAGTAGAAGATACTCGTAAGCTACTAGTATTTGAACAGATGCCTTAGAAATATTGCTGGTATCTGCTGGAATCACCGGGTAAGTAATAGTGAAGCTAGACGTAGGGTATTAAGGAATGATGGCAAGTCAGTTTATGAGGTTGTGAATCTTCATCGACTGAGATGCTTGGGCCACGTGCTACGCATGCCTGAAGATCGATTGTCATGACGTGCAATGTTAACCGATGTTGGGGATTGTTGGAAGAATGTTAGGGGCTGTCAAATCAAAATGTGGCATCTGAGCTTGAAGACACTAACTTCTAGTCTGAGCCATGTTGGTAGATGCAGACTACTTGGTTGGGGTCCGCGTGACTAGCGTAACCAATGGTTGAAGACTCTTGGTGACATAGCTCAGAATCGATCACAATGGCGTAGGTGTATTAACACTGTCTTCTCTTAAACTAAGAGATTAAAATCGCTTCATATTTTTCTTTTTACGAGCTAATTCTTTCTTCCTTATATGCAATCTTTCTTTTACATATTACCACCATTGACTTAACCACTCCTATGAATCCGGTGTTCGTCTTGCTGTGCTAATGTGGTATGGCAACTTGGACCGATGCATGTAAGTGCCTGGTCCTACATTGTAGGTGACTGACAGACTAACTATTAATCCACAAAATATTACACATGAGATTACTCTACTTTATGCACTAACCAGTGTAATGTAGTATATACTGAAGTTCTTTGAATTAAAGATAAAAAGCAAAGCAAGTGAGTAAAACTTTTGGTTATCTTAGAGTTTAGTAAGTATTTTTTTATAGCATCAGAAACATCTAGTGTCTTAAACTGATGTAACAAAGCTGAAACTTTTCCCACCCCATTTAAAAATGCATATTTTATTGAACATGCATGAAAAACTCAATAAACGTGTGTACTGATTATTTAGTGAAAATAAATTTCAGTACAAAGAACCATAATCCCAGTTACTGTGAAATTAAGATTATTATTTATTTATTTATTTTAACACATCAGTATAGGTACAGGGAGGCACCAAATACATATGCGCCACACGAATCTCAATTGATTAGTGTGAGGGCTTTGATACTGCCTAGGTGCCCGAACCGAAGCAGGTGGTTTTCTTAGGGGGCCACACCCCGAGCCTTTGACCTGAACGTCTGACTCACAAGGCAGTGGAGCATCGTGAGGAGATGCAGTCCCATGGTAGCCGGTGACCAACGATTGGTTCATACGCCATTTGTTCCTTCAGGATACTGGAGCCCATGTGCACCATTGGTTTGGGGTCCGGTTAAAGCGCCGGACATTCGCTTTTCGTCCTCTCATTTTCGTAAACAACACCCCCGCCACGAGAAGGCAGTGAGTAGGACTTCCCTGGCAGAGGCTATATACGCATGGCCATGTGAGAGCATTTCGAGAGGGAGAGCGGACTCTCCCCACTCTCGGCCGTACCAAGGCATTTGGGGGCAAAATTATGTAATGTAGATGGTGAAGATTTGTAACTCAGGTGGATGAGTTTGATGAAGCCTTGTTCTCCGAGCTGGGTGGTTTGGTCAGAGGACAAAACTCCATCAAAGTAATATGGATTCAAACAAACGTTTAAGCTAAGGGAAGTTAGTAGACCTGAATAAAGCTTACGTTTCAATCAACCAAATTACACTTATTCTTTCGTGTACACTGAAATATAAGCATCAATATCAAAATCAAATTTTGTGATGAGGAATATAAAAATTACCGGAAGAATGAGAATAACTGAAATATTTTCCAAGTGCATAGATAGACCATGAGGGGTAAAGTGGTAAATCACCAACAAACCAATTAGTATTCGGTACACCATCACGAAATACAGCAGGATATAAAGGTATTGAATCACCTGAATGAATATTATCAACTTTAGCAGAATTTGTTGATACATTTATTTTTGATTGTGAAGATGGGGAATGGTGAGCAGGTACACCAACATATTCATTGTTTTTAATTTCAGCTGTTTGGTGTACTAGATCATTTTGTAAAGGGACAATTGAATCTGATGTGTTGGATAGTTCAGATGGATTCGGTGATGAACAGCTTCCAGCTGGAATAAATGTATTGAGATTAAACCACAACGTTACGTTACACAGAAGTCAAGGTGAAAGTATACTATGCTGACGATGTTGCTCGACTTACTAGCCAATCAGGAAACATAGCTTAGTCATAAAACTATTGTAGAAAGTAGTAAGAAATTCGAATAATGGTTTCGATATGATTAATTAGCCTTTATACATTAAACTATGTACTGTGGTAAGCGAAAAAATGTCAAGTTCACATATCACGAGTTGGGGTTATAAATATTGAGTTTTCGTCACTGATTGATATCAGTTATGATGTAATGACGCTTTCCAACCCTTTTGTTAACTTAGAGTTGATGTTTAAAGTCATGAGTTAGAGTGGGAGAATAATATCTAGCTACACAAACGCCCTTGACTATGCGTTGAGTCACATAAGGTACTTTATAATAAAATCTGCATTAAAAGCAGCTGTTTCTCGTAATTGAGCTTAAGCACAATATTATCACTGTTTGGTTGCGTGGTAGATATTTTTTTTATCAATTTTAAGGATCGAATATTGCTAATTTTCACTAAGAGGCGCGATTTTGATTCTGATCATCAGTAGGGAACACATTTACAGAATTTAATTTTTGGTTCTAAAAAAACTCCAATTTTATTCTGACTATAATTATCAAGTAAACAGAGTTATTCATGATGTCAGTAGGATCTATAAGTGCGATTTAGAGGAAAGTCATCGCTACTTTTGAGATGACAACACAACTGGATATTGGTCTAAGTAATACATAACAGCTGTAATTTATTACATGATGGCAGCGTAACAAGGATGAGATACTTAATGGCTTTAATTCAAAATTGATTATGTATGATAAAGATGATTGCAAATATTCAGTACATAGTATCTTTAACAACATCTAAATCAAACACAAGAAACATGTAACAGGAATGGAAAGTCAAAGAGAAGTAGCAGAAATTCTTAAATGTTTATAATGGCTGATAATGTTATTTTCTCTGTTATGATCTTTATTTTATTTATTTATTTTAACACATAGGTATTGGTACAAGAACTCTGCCTGTAGTTCTTCCAGAGTTACTGCCGCTCCCAAGCCCGGATAGAGGAGGAGGGTTGGGCATGGGGTTAGCGTCCCCATCCCGTAGAAAACTAACTCGCTAAAAAAACGCTAACCAGAAAAAATAACTCAAACCATTTAAACTCTGCCCTGGGAGTTAGAAGGTCTTCATTTAGAAGAAATATGACGCCTCATGGTGAAAGCTGTGTTCCTTCGGAAGCCACGAGTCCGATGCCCCTTCTAACAACCAGAGCAACAATTTTTATAGGTACATGGAACGTCCGGACAATGTGGGAGACTGGGAAGACCAGTCAAATAGCAGCGAAAATGAGGAGATACAACTTGGCAGTACTGGGAATCAGTGAAACCCACTGGACCTAAGCTGGACAACAAAAGCTAAATACGGGAGAGATGCTGCTTTACTCCGGGTCACGAAGAGGAAAATGCTCCACACACTCAGGGAGTGGCTCTAATGCTGTCCAAAGTAGCACAAAATGCACTTGTAGGATGGGAATCTCACGGATCCAGAATCATCAAAGCATCATTCAAAACAAAGAATGAGGGGATCAAAACGAATATTATGCAATGTTATGCACCCACCAATGATAGCAACGACGACGTTAAGGATCAATTCTATGAGAGGCTGCAATCAATCATAGAGAAGTGCCCAAGAAAGGACCTCACCATTCTGATGGGAGATCTAAACGCCAAAGTCGGAATAGACAACACGGGATATGAAGACATTATGGGACTACATGGACTAGGAGAGAGAAACGAAAACGGGGAAAGATTTGCAAATCTGTGTGCATTCAATAAATTGGTCATAGGCGGTACAACATTTCCACACAAACGTATACACAAAGCTACGTGGATCTCACCGGACCACACCACAGAGAACCAGATAGATAACATTTGCATCAATAAAAAGTTCCGAAGGACAATGGAAGATGTGAAAACCAGGAGAGGAGCGGACATAGCTTCAGATCATCACCTAGTTGTGGCCAATTTAAAACTGAAGCTAAAGAAGAACTGGACAAACAGCGCTGCAAAGGTTCAATAAAGCCTTCCTTCGAGATACTGACAAACTCAATGAATTCAAGATAGCCCTCAACAACAGGTTCCAAGCCTTACAGGATCTACTGAAGGAAGAAGAAACTACTATGGAGGATAGCTGGAAAGGTATAAAAGAAGCATTAACTTCAACGTGTCAAGAGGTTCTGGGCCCCAAGAAGCATCATCACAAGGAATGGATCTCTACAGAAACACTGGACAGGATCAAAGAAAGAAAGAACAAGAAGACAGCAATTAACAACAGTCGAACAAGAGCAGAGAAAGTCCAAGCACAAGCAGAGTACATAGAAGCAAACAAAAAAGTGAAGAAGAGCATTAGAGCCGACAAGCAGAAATACGTGGAAGAACTAGCAACGACGGCGGAAAAAGCTGCAAGAGAAGGAAATATGAGACAGCTTTACGATACGACGAAGAAGCTTGCAGGGAAATACAGTAAACCAGAGAGACCAATCAAAGACAAAGAAGGAAGACCAATCACTGAGATTCAACAACAGCGCAACAGATGGGCAGAGTACTTCGAGGAACTCCTGAACAGGCCGGCTCCAATGAATCCACCGGACATCGAAGCAGCACACACAGATCTTCCTATAAATGTCAATCCACCAACGACAGAAGAAATCAGAATGGCCGTCAGACAAATCAAGAGCGGGAAAGCAGCAGGACCTGACAATATACCAGCTGAAGCGTTGAAGTCAGACATCGAAGTAACTACAAGCATGCTTCATCTTCTATTCAAGAAGATTTGGGAGGAGGAACAAGTGCCGATGGATTGGAAAGAAGGACACCTCATCAAGATTTCAAAGAAAGGAGATCTGAGCAAGTGTGAAAACTACAGAGGCATTACACTACTGTCAATACCGGGTAAACTCTTTAACAGAGTGTTACTGAACAGGATGAAAGACACAGTAGACGCTCAACTTCGAGATCAACAAGCTGGATTCCGTAAGGACCGGTTGTGCACAGACCGAATTGCGACACTACGGATCATCGTCGAACAATCAATCGAATGGAACTCGTCATTGTACACCAACTTCATTGATTATGAGAAGGCATTTGACAGTGTAGATAGGAGGACGTTATGGAAAATTCTTTGACACTACAGAGTTCCTGAGAAGATTGTCAGTATTATCCGGAACTCATATGACGGACTACAGTGCAAGGTCGTGCATGGAGGACAGCTGACAGATGCATTCCAAGTAAGGACCGGAGTAAGACAAGGCTGTCTACTCTCTCCCTTCCTGTTTCTTCTGGTGGTCGACTGGATTATGAAGACCTCGACATCTGAGGGAAACTACGGCATACGATGGACAGCTCAGAACCAATTAGACGACTTGGACTTCGCAGATGACCTAGCCCTCCTATCACATACACACGAACAAATGCAGATAAAGACAGCCAGCATAGCAGCAGTCTCTGCATCAGTAGGCCTCAACATACATAAAGGGAAAACCAAGGTCCTCAAACACAACACGGAGAACAGCAATCCAATCACTCTTGATGGCGAAACTCTGGAAGACGTGGAATCCTTCACATACCTGGGAAGCATCGTCGATAAACAAGGAGGTTCAGATGCAGACGTCAAGGCGAGGATTGGCAAAGCTAGAGCGGCATTCCTTCAATTAAAGAACATATGGAACTCAAAACAACTTTCAACCAATATCAAAGTCAGAATCTTCAATACGAACGTCAAGGCAGTTCTACTGTACGGAGCTGAAACTTGGAGAACTACAACAGCCATCATCAAGAAGGTACAAGTATTTATCAATAGCTGTCTACGCAAGATACTCAACATCCATTGGCCGGATACCATCAGCAACAGCCTTTTGTGGGAGAGAACCAACCAGCTTCCAGCTGAAGAGGAAATTAGGAAAAGACGATGGAAATGGATAGGACATACATTGAGGAAATCATCAAACTGCATTACGAGACAAGCGCTAACTTGGAATCCTGAAGGGAAGCGGAAAAGAGGAAGGCCAAAGAACACATTACGTCGGGAAATAGAAGCGGATATGAAAGGGATGAATAAGAACTGGAAAGAGCTGGAAAGGATTGCCCAGGACAGGGTTGGATGGAGAATGCTGGTGAGCGGCCTATGCTCCTTCACGAGGAGTAACAGGCGTAAGTAAGTAGGTAATTGGTACAAGGAGGCACCAAATACATATGCGCCACACAAATCTCATCTCATTTGTGTGAGGGCTGTGATACTGCCCAGGTGCCCGAACCGAAGCAGGTGGTTTTCTTAGGGGGCCACACCCCGAGCCTTCGACCTGAACGTCTGACCCACAAGGCAGTGGAGCATCGTGAGGAGATGCAGTCCCATGGTAGCCGGTGACCAACGATTGGTTCATATGCCATTTGTTCCTTCAGGATACTGGAGCCCATGTGCACCATTGGTTTGGGATCCGGTTAAAGCGCCAGACATTCGCTTTTCGTCCTCTCATTTTCGTAAACAACACCCCCGCCACGAGAAGGCAGTGAGTAGGACTTCCCTGGCAGAGGCTATATACGCATGGCCATGTGAGAGCATTTCGAGAGGGAGAGCGGACTGTCCCCACTCTCGGCCGTACCAGGGCATTTGGGGGCAAATTCCAGGGACATGGGATATAAATTAAGCATCAACACAAAAGGAACGTTAGACAAATATACATACGTTAAATATGTAGCCACCTAAATTTATCGTCAAATGAATTAGTTATTAGAAGTAAAGAAAAAAACTCACATAAATCATTGACAGCATCGATGTATTTGTCATTTCTCGAATCATCTGATGCATCATCGGTCGACTTTCTATTCATCATTTCACTTGAATTTGAATGATCAGAATCGGCTGATAATAATAATAAGTCATTATCATCAGGTTGTGAAAGACCGACATCTGCACCGGTATCTGCTTCATCATCATTATTCGTTGGATGATTTTTTGTTAACTTTTGAGCTCGACTTACAAGAGATGATGGAGGTGGAGGTGATGATGCTGTATCCTTTTTGGGTTTTGTTAGAATGCATACTGCTTTTTCATTAAATACTTTCGTGTAATTTCGATGACTTGGTGATGACGCCACAACATGATTTTCATTCGGCAGACAAAAAGTATGCCGTGTATCAGACAAAATTTGTGGTGATAATGGAATATTTGTTAACTAGTGAGTTACCATGTTTAGATATATTTATAATGAAAGGAAATAAAGAAACCAACAATTCAACTTAAAAAAGTTAATAACGATAACATTTAGACATCATGAACTGTTTAATATTTAAATGACTACTATGAATTAATTGAACAGATTACAAACTTCATAAATTTATGTGGTATTTCTTCAATTTGAGGTTATCCGGGACGTTTTCAGTGTTCATACAGTATTTTGCATCCAACACCTTCAACTGTTTTCTACTTCATGTAGAAGACAAGTGCTCTATATTAGATATTCCAGCAGTGTGATTTCCATTGCACTTGCTAACGATATCAGCTGCAATTAATACACTTGTTCGATTTTTTTCAACCCCAGAATTTCGTTAATCAGTGAAGACTGAGATACGGATTAATTTGTGTGGAATAGATAAGTGGGGGAAATTTTTTGTTTGGTACAAAAAAACACAACATCGATAGTCGCTCAATGAAGGTGATTTAGTCAAAGGTATGAATACCTGAGAAATGGACATTTCAGAAAGTCTATGGACGACTTCGATAATAGTGCGTAATTAGGTAGGCACTGTACTATTACGACAAGGTCTAATATATGTAGAGTATTACAACAAGTAACTATTTACTGGCATACATGCACCAATAGACAACTTAACGTAACTATTTTTTGAATTATTGATTAAGATCATGAACCGATTGATGTTAGATCACTATTTTGGGAATTATGTTATACATACTAATCATCATACGACGAGGAAAAGTATTCGAAATCACTATGTATATTCGGGATATATTTTTACTATAACTAAAAATTATTGGAAGATACTAATTCTACTGTAGTGTACACCGTGAATCTCAGCACTGAGCACCTAGTACAAATATGATCTGTATGATTGTAGACAACATTTGTAAAACGGTGTTAAAAAAGTTGTATGAAATTGGATACATTATTGGCAATTGGATAGCCATAAAAACAATTTCACAAACTTTACTAACCACTAATTACTGTACGAAGTTTTAACTACGTACAGGTTAACGTATTGAGTTTTGAATTACACTTATTGTATAGTGACTAAAAAGATATTAATCTTATCAAAAATAATCTCTGTAATAAGTTGTGAATTTGTGATATTATGGTTTGAGTCTTGTCCTCATTCGAGAAAAATTTTTGTCTTATAAAAACTAATTCATTCTACAGTAGCCAAAACAGATGACAAGGAGTTTCGTCAAGTCAATAAGATGAAAAGCTAAGAAGTCGAAGTAATAAGATCAATTCCAATGGAAGGTCTAACACGAAATATGATTCGTGAAGAATGAGTTAGAGGAATCCAAAGAATAGAAAAACAGTAGTTTAAGAATTTAAAGGCAGGTATGGAATGTATGCCATTGAGTTGTTCCAACCGGTTTTGAGCCATAGGATCTATAGTGGATAACCACAGACTAAGATTATCGTAAAATACCTAGCCAGCCCAGGTACCTGAATTGGATTTGAGGTTTCAGAGTAATACCCTAACAAGATTCGATATTGTAGTACATTTTCTGGTTGTTAGTTTGGTCATCCCATGTGACACAGGAAATACAGGCATTATTTAGATAAATATTTACTTCGTTTATCCTTAACTCTGCTCACTGGGACTTGGAATAATAGGAAAGTTGGAAGAGCAAAGAGATTCTTATGTCAGAGAATATCTGAATAAACTCAAAAAATATTTGAGAATTTCATAGGCGATCAGTATTGTATACTATCTTTCAGTAATTTGTCAATATCTGTTTACAAAGTAGTTAGTTTCTACTGAGCCCATATCAATTAATACCAAAAAAATACAAATTTGACCACTGATTTAAATTATAAGCTCAGAAAGTAATATAATAGACTTAAAATTTTAATGTAGGGTTAGACAAGAATTAGTAATTCAAAGTTAGATGTTTAAGTCACTGAACTAAAAGTCCAAAAATGAAAGTTGTAGAGAGATCGTAAAGGACTCTAAGATGAGAATAATTCTTTTGATGTGCTGAAGAGTCGATCTATGAGACAAAAATCATTAGAGCTAATGTAAATGTTATTAAAACTTCCTACCTTATTACAACAAATATTAGATAATATATGATAAAAGCGCCAATTAGCTTCTTTATAATCAAATGGATCTGATCTTTCAGCTTGTTGACGACCACAACCACATGAACTTATCATTATTACATCAGACCGATGTGGCATAACAGCTAAATGTTGATCTGGACTATCCGAATTTAAAGTATCATTTGTTTGTTTCTCATTTAACAATTTCTGATCTGATAGACTACTATTATTGTTATTGGTGAAACCTTTAATGGCGCATTCTATCCAATACCGTTTCCATTTACCACTGAGACCTAATTATTATATAGAAGAATTATTAACACAGTTAATGAAATCATCTGCAAAAAAACTATACAATAATTAAGAAATAAAAGAAACTGAATGGTAAACAGGGTGTAATTTCAGAACCAAACGTTTCAGTTGACATACGTGTGTTTTGAAGATTTAGTAGGGTAGAGATTTAACGCTAATTCTATGGTTAGTAATAGTCTAAAGTAACTTAACAAAATGGGGGGGGGAGACTTTTATTAACACCCAAGCGTTATGAAAATAGGAAAACCGATCATCAGCAATAAATCTTTTGTTATTACTAAGTAAACACTTGGAACCATTTTAGGGTTATTGCAGATTCCCAGTCCAGGTAACAGACAGAAGGAGTGGGTATGGGATTAACAACACATGCTAACAAACAATAAACAGAAAATCATTTAAACTTGAAGGTAACCACTAAGTAGTAAGGAACAAAGCGACATGAGACCAAGAAATCAATGAGTAAATAACAAAGGTTATGGGAACAGATATGGATTTCAGGGCGAAAACGGATTTTGGCTCAGAAAAGCAAGTATTAAGGTTGAAGAATACGGTTTTAAAGGATATTTGATACGCATATTTTTACTCATATTAATTGACAGATTTGATACTTATAAAAAAATGTAAATGTTGAGTGTGTCATTTTTCTAACAAAATAAAAACGTTAAATTACTTCTTTTTCAGTTGAATTACAATTACGAAATAAAAAATTTATTTGGTTCAAGTTTTCATTTGATCAGGATTTAAATTACACAATCTACTTTTTTCTGTAGTGATGGAAATATTCTAATTGCTTGTTATGTAACTAGAAACACAGAATTTAAATTTCTCTTTTGAGTAAGATCAACGTATTTTGCTCTACACCTTAAAATAATTAGCACTAAATCAGGTCTGTGTAACTCCACCTGTAGCTCTCCTAGAGTTACTGCCGCTCCCAAGCCCGGATAGAGGAGGAGGGTTGGGCATGGGGTTAGCATCCCCATCCCGTAGAAAACTAACTCGCTAAAAAAACGCTAACCAGAAAAAATAACTCAAACCATTTAAACTCTGCCCTGGGAGTTAGAAGGTCTTCATTTAGAAGAAATATGACGCCTCATGGTGAAAGCTGTGTTCCTTCGGAAGCCACGAGTCCGATGCCCCTTCTAACAACCAGAGCAACAATTTTTATAGGTACATGGAACGTCCGGACAATGTGGGAGACTGGGAAGACCAGTCAAATAGCAGCGAAAATGAGGAGATACAACTTGGCAGTACTGGGAATCAGCGAAACCCACTGGACCTAAGCTGGACAACAAAAGCTAAATACGGGAGAGATGCTGCTTTACTCCGGGTCACGAAGAGGAAAATGCTCCACACACTCAGGGAGTGGCTCTAATGCTGTCCAAAGTAGCACAAAATGCACTTGTAGGATGGGAATCTCACGGATCCAGAATCATCAAAGCATCATTCAAAACAAAGAATGAGGGGATCAAAACGAATATTATGCAATGTTATGCACCCACCAATGATAGCAACGACGACGTTAAGGATCAATTCTATGAGAGGCTGCAATCAATCATAGAGAAGTGCCCAAGAAAGGACCTCACCATTCTGATGGGAGATCTAAACGCCAAAGTCGGAATAGACAACACGGGATATGAAGACATTATGGGACTACATGGACTAGGAGAGAGAAACGAAAACGGGGAAAGATTTGCAAATCTGTGTGCATTCAATAAATTGGTCATAGGCGGTACAACATTTCCACACAAACGTATACACAAAGCTACGTGGATCTCACCGGACCACACCACAGAGAACCAGATAGATAACATTTGCATCAATAAAAAGTTCCGAAGGACAATGGAAGATGTGAAAACCAGGAGAGGAGCGGACATAGCTTCAGATCATCACCTAGTTGTGGCCAATTTAAAACTGAAGCTAAAGAAGAACTGGACAAACAGCGCTGCAAAGGTTCAATAAAGCCTTCCTTCGAGATACTGACAAACTCAATGAATTCAAGATAGCCCTCAACAACAGGTTCCAAGCCTTACAGGATCTACTGAAGGAAGAAGAAACTACTATGGAGGATAGCTGGAAAGGTATAAAAGAAGCATTAACTTCAACGTGTCAAGAGGTTCTGGGCCCCAAGAAGCATCATCACAAGGAATGGATCTCTACAGAAACACTGGACAGGATCAAAGAAAGAAAGAACAAGAAGACAGCAATTAACAACAGTCGAACAAGAGCAGAGAAAGTCCAAGCACAAGCAGAGTACATAGAAGCAAACAAAAAAGTGAAGAAGAGCATTAGAGCCGACAAGCAGAAATACGTGGAAGAACTAGCAACGACGGCGGAAAAAGCTGCAAGAGAAGGAAATATGAGACAGCTTTACGATACGACGAAGAAGCTTGCAGGGAAATACAGTAAACCAGAGAGACCAATCAAAGACAAAGAAGGAAGACCAATCACTGAGATTCAACAACAGCGCAACAGATGGGCAGAGTACTTCGAGGAACTCCTGAACAGGCCGGCTCCAATGAATCCACCGGACATCGAAGCAGCACACACAGATCTTCCTATAAATGTCAATCCACCAACGACAGAAGAAATCAGAATGGCCGTCAGACAAATCAAGAGCGGGAAAGCAGCAGGACCTGACAATATACCAGCTGAAGCGTTGAAGTCAGACATCGAAGTAACTACAAGCATGCTTCATCTTCTATTCAAGAAGATTTGGGAGGAGGAACAAGTGCCGATGGATTGGAAAGAAGGACACCTCATCAAGATTTCAAAGAAAGGAGATCTGAGCAAGTGTGAAAACTACAGAGGCATTACACTACTGTCAATACCGGGTAAACTCTTTAACAGAGTGTTACTGAACAGGATGAAAGACACAGTAGACGCTCAACTTCGAGATCAACAAGCTGGATTCCGTAAGGACCGGTTGTGCACAGACCGAATTGCGACACTACGGATCATTGTCGAACAATCAATCGAATGGAACTCGTCATTGTACACCAACTTCATTGATTATGAGAAGGCATTTGACAGTGTAGATAGGAGGACGTTATGGAAAATTCTTTGACACTACAGAGTTCCTGAGAAGATTGTCAGTATTATCCGGAACTCATATGACGGACTACAGTGCAAGGTCGTGCATGGAGGACAGCTGACAGATGCATTCCAAGTAAGGACCGGAGTAAGACAAGGCTGTCTACTCTCTCCCTTCCTGTTTCTTCTGGTGGTCGACTGGATTATGAAGACCTCGACATCTGAGGGAAACTACGGCATACGATGGACAGCTCAGAACCAATTAGACGACTTGGACTTCGCAGATGACCTAGCCCTCCTATCACATACACACGAACAAATGCAGATAAAGACAGCCAGCATAGCAGCAGTCTCTGCATCAGTAGGCCTCAACATACATAAAGGGAAAACCAAGGTCCTCAAACACAACACGGAGAACAGCAATCCAATCACTCTTGATGGCGAAACTCTGGAAGACGTGGAATCCTTCACATACCTGGGAAGCATCGTCGATAAACAAGGAGGTTCAGATGCAGACGTCAAGGCGAGGATTGGCAAAGCTAGAGCGGCATTCCTTCAATTAAAGAACATATGGAACTCAAAACAACTTTCAACCAATATCAAAGTCAGAATCTTCAATACGAACGTCAAGGCAGTTCTACTGTACGGAGCTGAAACTTGGAGAACTACAACAGCCATCATCAAGAAGGTACAAGTATTTATCAATAGCTGTCTACGCAAGATACTCAACATCCATTGGCCGGATACCATCAGCAACAGCCTTTTGTGGGAGAGAACCAACCAGCTTCCAGCTGAAGAGGAAATTAGGAAAAGACGATGGAAATGGATAGGACATACATTGAGGAAATCATCAAACTGCATTACGAGACAAGCGCTAACTTGGAATCCTGAAGGGAAGCGGAAAAGAGGAAGGCCAAAGAACACATTACGTCGGGAAATAGAAGCGGATATGAAAGGGATGAATAAGAACTGGAAAGAGCTGGAAAGGATTGCCCAGGACAGGGTTGGATGGAGAATGCTGGTGAGCGGCCTATGCTCCTTCACGAGGAGTAACAGGCGAAAGATGATGAAAATGAAATCAGGTCTGTGTAGGAAACTTAATCAATGGGATTGATGTGATTGTTTAATACAAGCAAACAATAATGGCTAGCTGGGAAATGTTTGTGTCTATATAACTAAACAATTAGTAACGTGTATAACAATATGGAAAGTGAATTAATTTTCATCAAACTGGTTTACAAAAACAACTTACCAAAAGGAATAATATATTCATTATTAAGTGTGAAATCAGTTCTATGTAGTTTATTTATACTAGAATGTGGTTGGTAGTGATTTTGGGATAGTAAATTTCCATCAGAATTAAAAGCAGTATAATCTTCACTAATTTTATTATCTATAGTTGACAAAATAACCTTCAGAGTATTGCAATCATCTGGTACGCGATGCAGTTCATATTGACATGGTTGACCTGATAATGATATAGTGGAACATGTTACACGTCCAGCTAGATAAAGATGAGTTAATCGATTTGATAGTTTCTCTAAAAGACGAAATACTGAATGACCACGAGCTAAACCAATTGCTACATTATAAGCGGAAATAACCTATAACATTGGAATATGAAAAATAGAACAGAAATCATAGAATATATATCATATGTAAGTGCTGATCAAAGTAGAATGAACTGTATTACATGACATTATAATTCCGGTTGCGTGAGAGATCACATATCATATAGAAAGCTTGCTTTAGTTGAACGAATTTATCTGGCCACAGGTTCATTTGGGATTTTCTATACTACGTCAATTATGAAGGGCAAAGGTGAGATAGCCGACAACCTATAACTACTATCCAAATTTCGTTTGCATGCTGCGAGACCACAGACTAAGCGCTTTCAAAGTTAAAGGAAAGGTTTTCATCAATTTATGCTTATTAGGCAGGTTGTGTTATATGATTTCTATGCCAAGTTACTTTATAGTCCAACATGAGATAGTAACTTAAGCGAGACAAATTCAGGTGAAAAATAAGTTAAGGTAAACTAAACGAAGATATGATAATAGTTTGTAAAATGATTGACCTTTTGTCTGAATAGTACAAACTTCACAGATGAAGTCACCGAAGCAATATCAATCAGTGGTTTTGAACATTAAGTAACATAATAAAGTCGACGTCAGTAGTACAAATACATTTACCACATTTATTTTTGCGCACGTTTTGAACATTTTGTTACTCGTCATTATTTTCTCAGTCATCCCGTGTCCATTTTGGTCGTCTAAATAATTTATACCAGTTTTGTAGATTAACTCTTTCTGATTGGTTAGGAAGTGTGACAAGTTGAGCCTCCGAGGGAGATTATCAGTTGATCAATCTATCTTCAATAGAAGTCAGAGATCAGACCAAAAAGGCTCCAGAAGTGTACGTCTTAATGAATATCATTAAGGGGTAAATATTATTTACGAGTGAAAACATCTTATTTATTGTCTGTGATGGAAGTAATTAAAAAACTTCATGAAAATTTTGCTATCAAATAACAACAAATGTAACCAGTGTACATTTTACTGAACATTTACATTCTTCACTTGCTTAACACTGGGTTGTTTACAATTTTTCTGTGACACTGAAAATCCTGGACACAGACTACATGTATTTAGTGTGAAATCAATATCACACTACACACTAGTAGTATTTTAACTGGAATAAGTATTCTAAATTTTATACACTAGGTTCTGGGTTCGAATCTCATAGAGGGCGGGATCGCGGATGCGCACTGATGAGGAGTCCCATACTAGTACAAAACGGCCGTCCGGCGCTTCCAGGTTTTATGTGGTAGTCTAGTTTCAATTGACTCATGATTTCAACTATTGAAATTACTAAAATCTCCACAAAACCCTACTGATAATTATTACAGATTAATTAGATGTATTGTTTTCAGAATGATTTCAAATCATCAGTCGATCAGGTATTTCTTTTGAAAAAAGTCTTAAAAATCATTGACTGCTATAAGTAATATAACGTCATAAAAATATCATTTGTACTTATATAATAGTTAGCAAAACAAAACCTACCTTGATTATATGATATGTACATGAATAATGAACAGGTAAATCTTGTTTATAGTGATTTTCAGCAGCAGATGTAGCAGGTCGATAACGAATGGTAGATAAACGACTAATTGGATCTATAGTAGACCATGGATTATTGTAATCTGAAGTGAGTAAAATTTCTTCTTCTTCTTGCGTAACAGATTTTTGTGATGTTTGTTTTTGGGCTATGGATAATGTCGATGTGTGAAGTGTAGGACAGAGGATAGAGATTAATGCATTATGCCATGATTGTGATAAACTAACTACTGCTCCTCCAGTTCCAATACGTGAGGATGAATCATTTTGACTGGTAGTCATTTCAGGAGTTGGGACTGTGGTTAAGTGTTCATCTGATATTAAACTTGTATATATTCTATAGCATGCCTAAAGACAAATGAAATGTTATCAAGACGAATATGTGTGTATTTAATAATCATAAGATTAATTATACAAACTAATATTGCAAAGATTAATTAAGTAAGCTACTTAGTGTTACAATACTAGTGGCTAAGTGTACTAAGCAATCAATTCCCAGGTCATGATTTTTCTCCTTGAATTGCTCACTAAAGTTGAACGACTAGCCATTAAAACTGGCTACCACATATTAGATACGAACAATATTTCATAACAAATAAATATGAGTTATTAAATCATGTCAATATTATTAAATTACCTTACAATCATAGGCTAAATATTGGAAATAAACAAACTAATGATTGCAAGAACAAAATTGTAGTTAATGTAGCGATGAAATACATAAAAAAACTAACGAAGAAATATAACGTGTTATTGAAAAAAAGTTGAGTACTTAAATTCAGACATGAAGGTGTAATAACCTTGGCTCCAAATACATGTATTGGTTATAAAAGCATGCTAGTATTGGATTTCAGTATCTAAGGAAATGAATACAGAGGTAGGTAAACCCAATTTAAAAACTCCAAATAAAATAAGACCTATGTTTAAAATTGCATTGTTAGCTATAATTCAAAATATAATATGCAAAAAGAAAAGATCCGTAGATTTCGTATATCAGAGCAACGTTAAAACCACGTTAGATTGAATAGATTTTTAAGAAAATGATCTATTTTTTCCCATACTCAGTGTTACTCATCCAACGTAACAAAAAAATTTTCTTACAACTTGAGCGAAATTACATTAAAATAAAATGATGGATTATATAGAAGTTAACTAAAATGATTATTTATTATTCATTTAATTTTCAGTTATTTTCAAAACCCTTAACGGACATCCTGAATTGATTGATTATATGATTTCTAAAACTCAACTTCCCCCCCCCAATTAACCAAACTGATAAAAACAGACATAATAAGGCGTACAATATTAACCGCAGTTACTTTACAAACCTCAGTCCAGGAAAACATAAATTCTTCGAACATCTCATTAAATAATCTAATAGCTTTATGGATTGATATCAATCAGAAACTTTTGTTTAATGAACTGTGACTATTTATGCATGACTATCTAGATTATTTTGTAGCATCATAAGAAGCTTCGTACATAGCATTCTTAAGTTTCGCTTATACTTTGTGTTACAACAGATTTTTAAACAAGTGAGAATATACAATGAAGAAAATCACTTTACTATCTATAGTCGAACACCAATAGATACAAAACAGTTCTGAAATATGAATGTACTACACAAATCCTGTGTAGTGGACGATACTCACAATATTATTTGTAAGTAGTGTGTAGAGGAACGCGACGTCAAAATTGCAAACATTTTCGGACGGAGTCAAGAGTTTCAGTGCATTGAAAGCACAGTATTGTTAGAAAACTTGGAGACCAGACGAGAAGACAGTTCAGATGGCAGAATACACTGAGATGCAAATGAATGACTGAAAGCTATATTTATGCAGAAACTTGGTAACTTTTCTTAATAAAAAAAAACATTATCACTGCCTATTATCGTGTTTTACATCTGCACATTTCAAAAGCTGTGTTCAACAAGTCTGGAACATTATGAATTATAAGTATGTCATATGGAAATCTCCAATCTAAAAGTAATATGAAAAAATAGTCGATTCTCTTTAGGCTTACCATAAACCAAGCTTTACATGTTGGCAATTCATACGCAACTGTTGCTTGACCAAAAGAAGAATTTTTATTAGATGCTTGATCAATCATACTTTCAACATGTAAATGAAGAAAAGAAGATAGATTGTGCTGTGCTGGTTGGTCGGGTGCTGGAAAATTCCGTGGAGATGGTGGCGAAGTTGAACTAACAGAATCATTCGAATCAGTCGATAAGAATGTGCAAGAACCAAAAAGATTAGGAATTTTGTCAGTAGACATGTTCGAAATGTGATTGATATTTTTAAGAATAAATTCGAAATATTCCTGAGCGATATCTTCGCAAGATGTATGTTGTTTAAACCCTTCCTTTGCTTCTTCATTCTCTAACAGAACGTGTACAAAATTATGTCCTGGAAGCATTAATAATTGATTCGTTGAAATACTATAAAATGCGAAAACGTAAAGATAAAAAATTCGAGAGTGACATTCACCAATAAATAGATTCGCAAATGCAATGTATGAAAAATTAAAATATTAGGCAGATTGGAATTAAAGTACATTGTTTCTGTAAAAATTTGCACTGTATATCAAAAATATTATTTAAACCACCATTAGAGTATTCAAACCTCTTAGGATTGGTGTTTCGACAATCATTCTACAACCTTACAAAGGAATATGCCAAGAAGCGAATGACACCTAAATTTCAAATTATGAACTGGTCGTGGACCATCATTGGAAATCTGGGAGAATCGGACGGCTGTCTCTTCCCAGTACGAGACTCATCAATCATGTGCAACCACGACCCCACGTTAGGGAATCAAACCCAAATGCAAAATGGAAACGGAACACATGATTTTATAGGAAGAGTGAGCGATGTTTTCATCATTTAGTAAGATAACAATTATAAGGCGTTAAATGATATGATAAATTTTTTTCAATATCAGTGAGCATATGGAACCGGAGGAACGAACTCGAATGGGAACAAGACATTAGAAACACACTGAAAAAGTTCAAGAAGTTTCATATTCAGTTAAAATAAAAAACTAACAAACCACTGTAAACACAACTAACCGATTAAAGAAAGAACATAAGATTAAATATTAAACAATGAAATAAACTTAAAATATGAATTAAAGAAACCTTTGCTTTACTAATCAACGACTGAAAGTACTCTCTCCTACCCTTAAACAATAAATTATACGAAGGGACTCTGTGGTTATACAACAGTAATTGAGAATCAATGAAGCATTACTTCTCGAATTACTCTTACACACTTATTTTGATTAATAATTAAACCTTTCAATTGGAACCTTTAGTTTAAACAACATAAAACTACAGAGATCACAAGTATAAATAATGTACGGATCAACTTCCAAATTTCAAAAACATCCAATTTTGAACTGAAAATATGATAAGCAAAAATAATAAGACAAATAAAAAAATCCATTCATAAGTTAATCCGAGTTATAAGTAAGTGAGTGAAACAGGTGTAGAGGTTCAAATATTGGTATACATATATATATTATTGGAATCTACAAAATTAACCCTTAAATAAATGAAATAATAGTACTTAAAGAACTATTAAATCTAATAAGAGTTCATCAACCGCAACAATCAGAATGTGAAGAATGAAAATAGTTTGAGCAAATTTATAAGTATAGACTTACAGAATACCAACGAGTTGAAATACCATTAGGCTTCATAGAACAGGGAGTAATAATCTACTGAATCCCCGTTCACAGTCGTTCATATGTTGTCAGATTAGAAGGCTTCATAAAAGTGAGAAATCGGTGTGGGAAATGGTGTTCTTTCATAGTCTCTACTTACGTCTCGACAGACTACAGCCCGAATGCAATCAGTGATGAGGTATACAAGCATCATGAACTCAAAAAAATACTCTCGACATATATTTATTTATTTTATTTATTTATTTATTTTAACACATAGATATTGGTACAAGGAGGCACCAAATACATATGCGCCACACAAATCTCATCTCATTTGTGTGAGGGCTGTGATACTGCCTAGGTGCCCGAACCGAAGCAGGTGGTTTTCTTAGGGGGCCACACCCCGAGCCTTCGACCTGAACGTCTGACCCACAAGGCAGTGGAGCATCGTGAGGAGATGCAGTCCCATGGTAGCCGGTGACCAACGATTGGTTCATATGCCATTTGTTCCTTCAGGATACTGGAGCCCATGTGCACCATTGGTTTGGGATCCGGTTAAAGCGCCAGACATTCGCTTTTCGTCCTCTCATTTTCGTAAACAACACCCCCGCCACGAGAAGGCAGTGAGTAGGACTTCCCTGGCAGAGGCTGTATACGCGTGGCCATGTGAGAGCATTTCGAGAGGGAGAGCGGACTCTCCCCACTCTCGGCCGTACCAGGGCATTTAAGGGCTCTCGACATATATTGTAGCACTGGTAGGAGATTTTAATGAGTGGATATGGTATCTGATCACACAGAACAATCACTTTAGTGAGCAATTAGTTGTCGGATAACGGTGCACCTTTGTGCAGAATACCTGTTTTTGGTCAGCACCTGCTTTCGACGTAGCCACTGGCGATGATCTCTTTGGCATCATTTCTCTGCAACTCAACGTTGTGGTTAAACTGACAACATCCCGAGCAGTTACACCTGGCGGGATAGTATACAAGGCCGGCGCTCCTTTTGGTGTACCTATCTGGACTCTGATCACGGTTTGGTTTGCTGAAGCCTATCTTGCTTTTGGTGGTCGACGACTGCTTCGCCCTAAAAGGGTTAATTTAAGCAAATTGGTTGTAGCTTCCATTGCAACCAAATATCACACTGAGTTAGGTTCAAGATTATTAGCCAGTTCATCAAAAAATATGAGGCTTGATTGGGTTTGTAGGGTCCTATGAAAATGATGAGGCACGTTTCTCGTGGCTTCGAGAAAGGTCCTGATTATGAACACTGGGTTTTTAAATTCCTTCGGACACACCGATCTACTCAAACCAGCACGAGTTTGATGACTAACGTAGATCCTTACGCAAATAAATTGTTTAAAGTTTGCATAAAGACCGAGAAACCCTGTGGTCGGAGCGTGCTACCAAGTTGGAAACAGCTGCTGCACCTGGAGATTGCTGTAAGCTATTTCGACTCATCCGAGTCACTAGTAACAAGTTTGGTGTAAGTGAAACAGTCTGTAAAGTTCATGAAAATCCAACTAGTAACATTTAAAAACATTTTGGACGATGGTTAAAGTTCTTCTAGGGGTTCGGCTGGCCTCTTGCCTCAACGAAATCGACCAAACTCTTTCTTACTTTCTTTGGCTTCACCAATTAACGAGACGGAGATCGTCGGGGAACTTCAACGCATGAAGCTCAATAAGTCACCAAACTTACCCCGTCTTTCTTTAAGTATGATGGAGAACTTTCAACCAGAGGATTGAAAAGGATTAAGAGATAGAGTGTCTCAACCACTTGGGATGAGGCGATTATCATTCTGATATTTAAAGAGGACCTAGGTTATCTATACAAAAACTATACAGGTAGATAAGTCTACTTCTGTTTATGTTCAAACTAATGGCTTCTGTTATACTCCGCAAACTGGTGATACACGTCAAAAACTGAAACCTCGTGAACACGTTGGTTTTCAATCAAGTCGTACATGCGTTAAACACATCTTTACAGTCCACCACACTTACTCCAAGCTAATAGCCAATGTGTTCCTTAATATTAGAAACGGCTTCGATTCTTTGGACAGGTCTGTCATCTGAGGCCGCCAGTTGGCGGAGGATTTAGCGTAAGAAGTTTATTTACATCTTGAAAACCTAATATACGAATACCTCATGTAGAGTGAGATTATACGGCCACCACTTTCCATTACTTCACTCGATCAATGAGGTTAGGCCGGGTCGCTGAATTTCGTCATTCCTCGTTAAATACGTGGTTGTAGTGTTGACTTGCTTCCTGGAGAAAAACTTTCCGACCGTGAGTAAGTGGATGATATTGTCTGATTGTGAGATAATACTAAAGCTTTGCAAACCGCACTTGTTCAGCTAGCAGTCATTGTCCATAAGTATAGCAAGTACCTTACACATTCAAATGTAAAAAAATCCCAGAAGACTAGCAGTAGTTTTGATTTGTACTAACTCTTAGTGGTGATCAGAAGAAATTGAAAAGCCCACGTATCTGGGTAGTTGTGTAAGTGCTGGTGGTGGCGTGGGTAATGAGATCAATCTACGTATAGTGAAAGTCAGAGCAGCCCATATCATTCTTTTGAAAATTGTTCTCTATGTTGAGGACGTTTGGTATTTGTGTATTTAGTCATCATTGACCCCAAAGGACATGATATGCAGAAGTAACATCATGTTGGTAATAATCAAGTTCCCCAACGTGTGTTCGGATGCAGCGATTAAAACTCAGTTGGTGTTACTACCTTGAAACAACAGGTATTAGTTACTTGGATACACATTAACAATTTCATCATAACGGATTCCATATACGGCATTATTTGCCGACTCTGACACAGGGTTGAAAAAGTGAAACGGTCAGTTTATGACGTAGTGCAGTGGTTTGACAGAAAGCTCTATCGAACAAGCATCTGATGATTTATCAAGACTCTGGCTTGGGTTTTAGAGTCAGTCAGTCAGTCAGAAACAACGTGGAACTTCGTACGTACATACATCAGTTCGAGTTGCCATACCACATTAGCACAGAGATTCAGTTATCGATTCAAATCCCGTAGTGGCAGAGTAGTGAAAGTATAAGTAGTGACAGGGAACATTAGGGTTTGATGACGTTATTAAAGGAGTATAGTCCAGTGGAATAAATTGGGAAAGAAAATAAAGGACATGAAGAATTCAGAAGATTAGAGTTTGGGAGAACACAAAGAGTGGATGCACCTGCGCCATTGCAAACGATTTTTAGCCATGTCATTCAAGGTCTCTAACCATCGGTTGCTATCGTCTCGCGGTCCCCAACCAGGTAGTCTACATCTACCAACATGACTCAGTCCACTTGTCAGTGACTTCATGGATTTCTGCCATGTTTTGGTCTGGCCGCCTCTAGTTTTCTTCCAACCTACTCCTACACCATAAAACATAGCACATCGTGGCAGTCGGTGGTCTGGCATGAGCAACATATGTCCCAGCCATCTCAACTGATTAAGTTTCACAACTTCATCTATTGATTTGCCATCCTTACCTAGTACCCGTTTCCTAACAACTGAGTTACTTACTCGGTGGTCCCAGGATATTCGAGCGATGTTTCGAAGACACCTATGGTCAAATACTAGTAACCTACGAATATCCTCTACTCTTACTGGCCATGTTTCACTGCCATAAAGTAGGACGGAACGAACTGCTGCGCAGTAAACACGTCCTTTGGTTACTAGACGGATATCTCGCCTACACCACAAATGACGCAAGTTGGCAAAAGCTAGTCGAGCCTTCTGTATCCGTGCTGAGCTTTTGTTAGACAGCAGACCACAAGGGCTGATGAGACTTCCGAGATAACTGAAGCGGTCGACACGCTCAACTACTTCACTCCCTATCACTAGTTCGGGTGCCGATGCAACCCAATCCTGAAGCAACATTTTGTATTTCGAGGGAGAAAATCGCATCCCGAACATGCCTGCATTGTTGCTTAGAGTGGTCAGCTTGGGTTTTAGAGACGATGCAACTTAGAGGCTTGAGATGTCAGACATGATTTACAACAGAAACTGATGGCGATCCTATCCTGGTTTTCTTCTACATTCCTCATAAGAAATATGGAAATCCTTTTACTAAAGAAGTCTCTCCTAAATGTAATATTAAGTAGGCCGTATCTACTGTCACTTATTCACTATTTTTCATTTTTTGCACTATATTACTTTTCTTCAGTTTTCGTGATCAGTTTTATTTTTGGTGCTCACTTGTGTCATATTTTATATGCACTAAATAAATAATAAGATTTATAACAAAACCCTTAAACCACGTCCAACAATTCAATGGTAAATCTAGTTACATCCTAGCTAACAAATATATGCTGAAGATAAATAAATACTGAACATTTGTCCACTATTTTCCATTTATATATGGGAAAATGAATATACTTACTTGCTAACAAGACCAGTTTCATAAAATGTATTGAATATTTGAGTAACGATATTCTGTTCCAACTGCCTGACAAGCTTCCAATTCTAAGACAAATAAAAGAATGATAGAAATACCAATCAGCTACAGCCAGTAATAGGTAACATAAGGTCTGGCACTAAGATGATCTGACGCAAGCTCTATCACTTCAAATCCGAACAGAAGAAAAAAAGAAACAAACGAGGTGAAAAAAAACCAAGAAGCGGAAGTAACAGCATTGATTCGATTAGAAGGCGTAGCATAGAAAATATGATTAACAAGGGATAACTCAAATAAAAGAATCAAAGATATGGAGTGAAAACAAGATTAGGATCTAAAAGTTATACAACAAATGCAACTAAATTATTGTAACCGACGATGAGTCGTGTAATGTATGGTCTATAACAATATATTACGATTATTTTTATTTATTTTTATTTCAACACATAGATATTGATACAGGGAGGCACCAAATACATATGCGCCACACAAATCTCATCTCATTTGTGTGAGGGCTGTGATACTGCCCAGGTGCCCAAACCGAAGCAGGTGGTTTTCTTAGGGGACCACACCCCGAGCCTTTGACCTGAACGTCTGACCCACAAGGCAGTGGAGCATCGTGAGGAGATGCAGTCCCATGGTAGCCGGTGACCAACGATTGGTTCATATGCCATTTGTTCCTTCAGGATACTGGAGCCCATGTGCACCATTGGTTTGGGATCCGGTTAAAGCGCCAGACATTCGCTTTTCGTCCTCTCATTTTCGTAAACAACACCCCCGCCACGAGAAGGCAGTGAGTAGGACTTCCCTGGCAGAGGCTGTATACGCGTGGCCATGTGAGAGCATTTCGAGAGGGAGAGCGGACTCTTCCCACTCTCGGCCGTACCAGGGCATATGGGGGCATATATTAAGATAATTGTAAGGGGCATAAACAAGAACTTTAAACCTCTCAAAAGCGCCCAAATTAGGAATCAAGGGTATTACGGGCTAATGCTGCGTCTTTGTTTGGCCGCTTCATCACATATAATGAGCCGCTATTTGTGCATGAAACCCGACGTACAGCATAAGGTATGACAATTGATGTTACCCTACGTGGATACTAATATGAAGAAGATATACGCTTTTAGAATGGTCAAACACAGTAAAATAAATGCATTAAGTTTGTGAGACATAAACTCAATTCCATAAAGGTTGTAAGTACTATCCGTAAACTTCGGGATTTTTTAACATCCTCGTGCATAACAACAAATTGAATAATTTCTGGTGCACAATACAGCCCACGTGAACCGAGCCACAGGAAATTGTCTGTTGAAAACGATCTAAGAAAGAAATAATTCTGGAAAACTCGGCATGAATTAAAGATTTGTATACCAGTATAAATAAAACAGTGGATGAGCATTACGAATAAAACAAAAACCTATGCAGAAGCAAACTTGAGAAGCTAAATTGTAGAGGCAGCAAAATGTTATACTCTCCAAGTAAACATAAAAAAGAATGAATTTATGTACATAACTAACCTTTATCATCTTTGCTTGAGCTGGCGTCATTTTTAAGACAAAGAGAAGCCTCGGAATAGAAGCGCGTCCATTGTTTAACCAGTCTCGAGGTAACGGAAGGTCACGAGTATAAATATCAATAGGATGCCTCATAAGCAATCTGAATCTTAACCACATAAACGTCAACTAACCTCATTTTGTCCAACAACTTGAAAATACGAATGAGATCGGGGTTTATGTTTGTTCCTATACATGTAATCTTTCTGGATTATTAAGTGATGGGAACTTACGACGATGAAATGTGATACGACGAACAGAAAGTACAAAACCTTCAGAAGCGTGTAATCAAAGCGCTTAAGAGATTTTTCCCATATTTCATGGTGTTTATCACAACCCTTGAACAGCAACTCCATTTCCAGATTATTAAAGACCAAAAATATAATTTGGTTTTCACAATCATAATAGCCTTCGATGTAATTCTGTTAAACGAAGTTAGGATGAATTCAAGAATACCCTAGGTAGATCCTAAAGAAATCGAAATCACGAAAAAAGAATTACCAATGGTGGGATTTCTCGTCCAGTATAACTAGATATATTAGAGTATTGAGATTTATCACGGAATATGTCATATTCCCCAATGAACGATATAACTGTTACTTTTCTTGATCTTAGAGGCAAATGCCTGAAGTCAAACTTCGGTGGGACAGGGAACCGTCCTTCATTATATACAGTATCAACGCTCATTATAAAGGCTCTGAAGTTCAAGGCTTAAATTTCCCGGTGACCTTGATTTCTGGAGTCTTCAGTCTTCAGTAATGAGGATAGTAGGTTGGTGAACCTGTGTTAATCCTGACAGATTGCCTTCCAGTGAAGGTCCGGTTTCTCTTTTAAAATATTCACTGATGGGGCTGATACCGCTTGTTCGTGCAAGTCGTTCCAATCATTGACTACTCGATGAGAAAAACGGAACCCCACTTTGAGTTTATTAGATCGCGGTTTTTGAACCTTCTTGCTATGACTTCGGAGAATATTAGTGCAAAAAGATAAGACATATTAACACCCTAATCATAATTAAAGATACGAAACGCCAGTATAAGCTCACCTCGAGTCCTACGATACGACAAGGGAAAAAGGTTTAGGCCTTTTAAACGCTCATCGTAAGGGAGTTTAGAAAGACCCTTCACTAATTTCGTTCCCACACGCTGGACACGCTCAAGTGAATACCACATCGACAGACAGACCTTTATCTAATGCTGCTGTCCAATCCTCTCTCGCAATAAGTAGGTTAGTCAAGCATGAACGCTTATCACGAAATCCATGTTGCTCAGGTGCTATGTGGCTTAGTAACCTAACCCGAATTATCTTTTCAAGTAACTTAACGACAATGCTAGTCAGACTGACAGGCCGGTAGTTAGATAAGATCTGTCTCTGACCATCCTTCAATATAGGACTGACAATAGCAGCTTTCCAACCCCTAGGGAGTTGAGCGAGTGAAAGGGACATGTTGAAGAGTGTCACGAGCGGTTTGAAATAATGTCTGCAAAAGATGACAGCAGCCGTGGATTTAACCCATCAGGACCCGGTATCTTACCAGGTTTGAGGTTAATTATCAACGAAAGGACAGTTCCCTCAGTCACCTGTATAGATTCGATGGCTGGTATCTCGGTGTGATTGGGACAAGTATTTGTTACAATAAACGTAGAGTAGACTTCACTAAAATAGTTTGAAAATGTCTCAGCTTTGGCCCGATCTGATAGATGGACAATCAAAAACAAATTACGATGGTCTGTTGCTCTGTTTCACTAAACAAATTTTTTTCAGTTTCATAGGAAAATCCATACAGCTCCTCACTAGGTCCTAACAAATTTCTGATGGCAAATGTTACCTCGTTTCGCTGTTAATAATGAAAAAGATTTCAGATAACAATGTTAAAATAAAAATCAGTTTATGCCTGACGAAATCTCTAATTTGATTGTGGCGGACTAGTGATGCCAGCATTTAGCTATCAAGGTATGTGGATAAAATTAATCAGAAAACTGAATGAATCCAATCTTCATTTGATAATCAATCTGATATGTTGTAACACTTGGAGATTTCTCATGCATATCAGAATCGCATGTTCTCACATTCTGATGACCATTTCAACATATTTTCCGGTGTACATTCTTTGAGGTCGCAACAAAGTGAAAAAAATAGTTAAAAGTATGATAATTTTTTAATGGCAATAATCTATACACCATTGGTTTCAATCTTGATTAATATAAAGAAACCCTTATAAAACTATTTTTCCATGGTCTTGTATATCTAAAAACCTCAAAAATAAGCGTATTTTGAGGCTGTTCATCGTCAGTCACAAAAGGCGTTTCCATTAGTTCCTGAACGAACGTGTTTTTCCTCCAGATATAGAGCGAATATACACATGCTACTTCCTAGCGTATTTATTTACAACAAAAAATAAACTTGGCAAACTGTCCAACACTTTATTACATATTGGTTTTACAGTTGTTCTGTTCGGATTGTATGTCAAGACGGGCTGTAAACCTTGACTTCATAGCAACATTCTAAATTATTATTGCACAAATGTTTATACTAATATTAAGCTTAACTCTGAGTCCCATTACAAAACTCTATATGTGTTCACACAATTTCACTAAAAAACTAACAAAATCAATGGTTTGCTTTAGAGTTCGACATTCATTGCACTCTTATTATCATAGTTGAACGCTCTTACTAGGTGTTCATTTCTTTCTAAATAAGCATTATTCATAAGATCCAGAAGTTTGTGATTAAGGCAATATTTTGTTGCACTTAAATTAACTTCTCAGAATCGTTTAATCTATACTATGTGGATATGCCTCATACATATTGATATTTGATTATCTTTTGCACTTAATTGAGACCTTCATAAAATCACTCCAATCTATGACCGCACAAATATTTATCGTAGCATCACATCTTACTGCAGTAATAAATTATTTTCTTATTTATGTTACTAATATGACGACACACACATAGTTGTTTATTTTTGTTCTGTGTTCACAAACACGCTTATTAACCTATTTTCGCATTCCGCGTCCTATTTATCACTATTCCCTCAATTTCTTGTTTTCCTTCTTATTATTATTTTATTGCCATTATTTCTCTTTTTCAAATATAGCAAATATGCTATCATAATTGAAACTTGTGCCTTATTGCATTTTGGAAGAGACCTGAAGTGGGTCCTTCATATCGATATGACGAGAAAAAGACGAAATTCGATTGATTTACTTACGGAGTTTTGTTCAACGTTACTTCCGTTTTGGTTCAATGTAATGATTACTCAGTGTAGTATTGTAGTGAAGGAGAACACCAATGGGGACAATCGAATGTAATTGACAATAAATCACAGGACTAGTTAGTAAAATCTAACAACCATATAGTAAATGCTCAATTTGCAAAATGTCCATCAATTGTCTCAAAATGACTCCGAATTCACTGTTCTTGCATTTTCATACAAACCGCATTCTGGCTTCATTCTTCACTGTCAGACCTTCTTGTCTCTCTGCTGCCAGAAATTCTATTCACGAATCACATCATATACTACTTATGTCTACATAAGTAGCACACACCACAGTATTTGTATTCTTTTCTCGTATGACATTTTATTGTGTATAATATACGATATTCTTGTATTTAATTGACATGAACTGAGCTCCATATGTGATATCATCCTAATTGTCAATCAAATTATGTGTACAATCAAAATATAAACGAGTGTATTTTTGACTATCGTCGTCGTTGTGTTTTGGGGTTAATAAATCTTCAATTATACTAGCCTTTGTGTCCTTACTTTCGCGTCGTGGGAATCACGGATGTCCCTCGTCTCGTGTATAAGTGGTAGGCGTTTCCGATATAAAAATCAGCGACAACCAGATATAACAAGTAACATTCACAGGACAAGACATATCATTCATATACCCATAAGATGTTTGTGAATTATAATAACTCTGCTTGAGTTCCTTAAAATTGCTGATAGCAAAAATACTTCCTGTTGAAATATGAATATTGATCACATGCATACACCAAACTTGATAACTTGTTAGCGAACATATTTTCCACTGTTTCTCATCAATCACATAGGTTTAAGACCATTGCAGAATATTTATGTCTGGCAAACATTGAATTGAATCGAATTTCGTACTACAGCAATATGATAGGTTCCTAACGACAGATTGTAACTGATGTAATAATATACTTGACACAATCAACTTCGATGTCAAGGGACTCCAGCCTCGAACTTCATATAGGTGATCATAGGTTCAAAATGAGTTAATTTTATTTTCTAACCATTATACTATCGGATTCTAAAGCTGCGAAAATACTAGACTGAGAAGTTTAACCAAGAGATAGGAAAGCGCACTGAGACACTTATTCGTTGAGTAATATAAAGTCAGACTTCAAAAAATATAGTATAAGTATTACGCCTTTTGATTTATACCACAACTTGAAGTTCTCCCCAAATGCCCTGGTACGGCCGAGAGTGGGGAGATTCCGCTCTCCCTCTCGAAATGCTCTCACATGGCCATGCGTATACAGCCTCTGCCAGGGAAGTCCTACTCACTGCCTTCTCGTGGCGGGGGTGTTGTTTACGAAAATGAGAGGACGAAAAGCGAATGTCTGGCGCTTTAACCGGATCCCAAACCAATGGTGCACATGGGCTCCAGTATCCTGAAGGAACAAATGGCATATGAACCAATCGTTGGTCACCGGCTACCATGGAACTGCATCTCCTCACGATGCTCCACTGCCCTGTGGGTCAGACGTTCAGGTCAAAGGCTCGGGGTGTGGCCCCCTAAGAAAACCACCTGCTTCGGTTTGGGCACCTGGGCAGTATCACAGACCTCACACAAATCAATTGAGATTTGTGTGGCGCATATGTATTTGGTGCCTCCCTGTACCTATACTTATGTGTTAAAATAAATAAATAATAATAAATACAGAGGTCAAATACGTCATTTGAAACACTAATAAGAGCCAGAGTATTACTTAAACTTTCGAAGGAAAGTTGAAAAATTTGAAGCATCCCTAGAACAAGCACCATGATTTATGCGTACGTCACGTCATGCATAACTTAATTAGCAGAGATGATTCCTCTCGACAAAAATATCTTCGGACTATGGAAAATAAAACTTTAGATAACAAAATACCAGACCTATCAATTAGTTGACTAATCAAATCCTGCTTAAGATTTTATAATCTTAATACGATCACATTCTTCACAATTAAGGACAACATTGTAGACAACCCTGATACTATTTGTGAGCAGTTCGACTACGAAGCTATATTACAGAAACGAAGCATCTGCCAATACATTTTCAACGCTGAATTTTAAAAACCTATTCACAATCACTTACATAACCACCAACATAAAGTAGGCTATAAATGCCCTGAAAGTCCAATGACGACTAACGTAACGGTACTACTCCATCATCCGTGATATGGAGGTAGATAATTCCTTAGGTTTAACTTATACATGTAGTTTCCATCTGTATGGAAAGCACTGTTTATTTCCCCCAAATTCAGAACGGGATCATGCAGCGGTAAACGTAAAGCAGACACATCATATTGAGCCATAGAAGATACGTTATTCAGTGATAATTCTATATTTCGATTTAGGTCAGGCCATCGAAAGTGCCTGGCACAAAATTCTGCTAAAACCTTTCCGAATTGACATACGTGACCTTCTATCGTGCTGACTGAAATCTTTTTGTTAACAGAAAGTACCCCAGTCGTTTGCTCTTGCTACGTTAAGCATATGTATATAGTCGGCGAGAAAGTGTCAGTGGTAGATTACTCTTTCTCATTTTCATTGATAACATGTGCTCACTCTTTTAATATGGTTATTTATTTATTTATTTATTTTAACACATAAATATGGGTACAAGAAGGCACCAAATACATAAACTTTTCCTTTTCGCTGTTCGGGAGATACTACATAACACGTGTGCGCAATTATAAAAACAAACGACGGGATTAAATAAGTACTCTATAATCACGAAATAGAACGTTGTAAGCAATGCACATGCATATACAACTCGACAAAAAAGAAAACAACGAGAAACATACAAAAATAAGTGTTTTAAAATGAAGATTAACATATAAATTAGATGATCAACTTCCATTGTTAAACTATACCTAAATAAAACACAATGGTTGAAAAGGATTCCTAGTGAGAGAATCGAAGATAAACTAAGTAAGTAGAGATGATAGTGCTTCAAATAGTTTTAACATATCTTCTCTATGAAGTTCAATGCCTAAAAAGAATCTATAACACAAAATCTGATTGTATAAACTTACAATTTGTACTGAAATATTTGAACTCAGCACGTGCTTTAGTGCGATTAATAGCAGCTTCAAAAGCTTGACCAAATAAACTGACAAACGCTATTAAAGAATAAGACGACTTACTTCCGGTCATCGTCTCCATGAATTGGTGGAATTCCCAAAAGTGAAATATAATTATCATCTGATTTGCTATCTACACATACAATTAAAGGCATTTGAACTACTCTTCTACCATGACCCTTCATAAAAAAAAACATTCAGAATATTTCTAGATTAACAGACTTACCAATTTAGCCCTCATTGATGCTTTTGCCATAAGAATATATTTTGATAAAATTGCTAAAGACTGACTATTCCTCAGTGCATGTGTCACCAAAGAGCTCTAAAAAAGTTATATATAATTATAATATATAGTTTGATGGGAAATACGTAGACAGTGCTCAAACTAAATTAAAGAGATGCCGAGTGAACTTTGGACGCAAAAAGACTTTGTGTACTTCATAAACTTGGAGATTTTGTTGAGTCAAAGACAAAAGATGGAACTTGTCTATAACGCTTCCTAACTGATATAGCAAAATGAAAACCAGTTACAATTGAGTAGATGTTGACGCTTACTGCAGATTACACCAAACAAATTTTCTCGCTGTTAAGTTTTTTAATCGAAACCATTTTAAAATAATTTGTTTTGTTAGTTGACTTTTTCCCCTGGTAATTATGAAACGTGAAAATTTTGAATGATTTTCTATTGTATGAAATCACACACCACTTTATTCGGGAGACTTCAAAGGATTAAAAGGTTAGAATGTTGGGTTTGAAAATGTGTTCAGTTGTAACTAAATCTTACAAACGGCCTTTAAATGTATGTACTGGTCTGTGAATCCTACTCGTTTTATGAAGTGGTGGTTTAGTGTTTAGTCAGTTCGTCTTTTAATCACTATATCAGTGGTTTGAGTTCCTCCTCGTTTGTTTTGGTATGGGAGCGCTCACATATAGTGTAACTTTAATTTGAGCACACAAATCTCTAATTGGTAAACAAATTACGTTGTGTAAAATATAGACCTGTAACCTAAAGAATAAGATATGGCTTGAACCACTGAACGATATAACACAAGAAACCAAACTAACGGGAATTTGACGTTGTATGAAAATCGGTGAACAGTCAGTTAAATTTTCCCCACCATGAATAAGCAATGAATTTAAAGTTAAAAAGTGAATAAATCAAACCTCACTTTTCTAATATATACATATAAAAATGGACCAAACGCGACCACATCATCTGTATCTAAAAGATTACGAACTTGGTTAGCTAAACTCTGAAGATGGATTTCTGTTTGTTTTATCTCTTGATCTAATGAAGGTGAATTCCAACTGAAATATGAAAAAAACTATGTATATATATATATGACATACCGCATTTTGCACAACATTTAATTTTGGACATTACAGATGATGAGATCAAAATAGTCCCCTAGCAAATAGATGAACTGAGAGTTTCCATTACTAATATTTAATTGTAATGACTTCAATCAGACGATTAAAGTACAAATATAGGGGTTGTGGAGATTATTAAGTTTTTGATTGAGATTATGAACCGATTAATGTTAAACCACCGTTGGAAACCTGAACGGCCGTTTCGTCCTATTGTGGGACACTTCAGCAGTGAGCATCCACGATCCTGCCCGCGAGATTCGAACCCAGGGCCTTCAGTTTCGCGCGTGAATACCTAACCTACTGAACTGGTGAGGAGTCCCACAATAGGACGAACTTACCGTCCAGTGCTTCTAGATTTTCAACGGTGGTCTAACATCAACCGGTTCATGATCTCAAACAAAAGATTAAAGTACACATCGGTAGTGAAGATAAGTACCGTTATTTTATCATTTGTATATTTTATCAGCATCATAGTAACGCTGTAGAATTGAGTTTATTCATATGTTTGCAAAAAAACTTTGCATATAATAATGTTTTATTTCAATAGTTGACATGTCAGTTATATTAGACGTGGTTGAAACATTGAGATAGATGTGATTTCCATAGTATGGTTGACCATTCAATAAAAGTTTGATGAAATCTTTTTGCTTTTATCTTAATTACTGAATGCTGAGGTTGTCGAATTATATATTTTATTTAATTTACGATGAATGAACATTCGCCAAAACTTGTACACAGGGTATACACTAGACATCAGACGTAGAGATTTGATGAAGAAATTATCAGCAATTAGAATTTAAATGACGAACTGATCCAAGTTTAACCATGGAAATAATCAAAATCTCTGAAAAAGCTCAAAGCGGTAGTTAACGGTTAGAAACATTGGAATTATGTGAATTTCAACCGCTGGAATTATTTCAAAAAAACTTGTGTATCTAAATTACTATGATTTTTAAAACTTGTACAAGATAATGAGACTGACAAATATTAAAAGAGCATACCAAGAATTCCCTATTCAAAATATTTGTTTCGGTAATTGAGGTACTACATTTTACAGCCATCATATTCATTCCAGTAAGAACAGTTTGGTGTTAACAATTTAACTTTAAATAATCACAATTTAAAGCATAATTGAACCGATTTATCTTGTATGAGTTGTTTAAATCTTCCCTCTGACGTTTATACTTGCAATTGATCAGTTTGTTAATAATATATATACATCCTGTGCAAATTGCTCCAATATTAACTGAAGTCACAACCATTATGAGCAGAGATAGATGATGGAATCCAGGCCGCGCATCTCGTCCTGTTTCGGACTGTGCCTGCATTTCAGAGTCGATGTTCACTCCGGGACTCCAACCAAGTAGCGTACGCTCCAAACACCATCGCACTACCCACTTACCTATTGAGTCTAGATAACCACTAGCTTGTGCAATAGGGTGAAACTTAATCTATCTTGTATTGGTTGTTCAAACCAACTGATATCTCGAAGATGGCGAAACGCACGTCCTGAATACTAATGCTACCGACCACTCATCTCTGCTCATAATTAAATTTAATACGCAGAATTAACAATTCACAGTTTAAATGAAACTAGTCAAAATTAACTGATGAGTTGCATTAATGATTAGTCCATTCATTGTACATCTTCGCTTTACAAAAATACATTCAAAGTTTTTATCCATCAGAAGCATTGTGTTAGAAAGTATCGTTTTTCAATAAATAATAACAAACAGGTACATGTAATTGTTATGGAGGGAAATTCCGTGATTTGATGAAACGATTATCCGGTTGTAAAAAATGATAGAGAAGAATGTTGATCGATACACGATAAGCAGTGATATGATGTGACTGAATGATGATTGTTCACCAAACCGATTTATTGATATAGGTTTCAGGATAATTTAATATTAAAGACAAGACTAATGGCTTATATGCGAAATACCAACACTAAATAAACATGACCAACTGTCGAACGCGACTGGAAGAAATCAATTTCCGAATTCAATTACTTTCTAACAAATCAAGACGTTATTATTGGGCACCGTATCAGTAAGCCATTTTTAAAGATGAATTTAAAGTAAGAAACCTTTTAAAAAGAATTGTAAAAAAACGTGGTTGAATAGCTATAAATCTTTATTTATATTTTACAAATTAAGATCAAACTAATAGAATTTATTAACTATATATACATAACAAGCAGCAAGTGTCAAAATTATAGAGTATATGATAGTGAGAAAGATACTGGAGCATATTATTCGAGCAATAAAAAGTATGAAATAACATTAAAGTGCATAACTTAAAAGAATGTTAAGAGTGAATACATCTGAGCTACTGTTACCTAGACAGGCAATAAGAAGATAACGACCATCAAGTATAAAGCTTTTTATACTTTCAGCTTTCATACAAGACTATGGACTAGTATCCAGACTTATATTCATAATGGTCATTTTAAACGAGATGTGATTTATCTTAGTTACGTGTACCAAATAAATAAAACAAACCAAATATAGTTAATACAGTTAGCTGATTTTGAAATAGACTTTTAACTGGTCGAAATCTGTGTAAGAAAATGGCACCATAGGAAATTATGAATGTTGAAGCAAAACTTACCAAGCTACTGTGTCCAATGCCGTTTGAAAGTTTTCTACCGGATTACCGCTATTCTGAAGGAGTAAAAATATAAAAATTCTAAGTACGAAGTTAGTGAATTGATAATTAGCACATAAAATCGACTGTAGCATCAAACTCTTTAATTCAGTTAAACAATCCGTTGAATGGAACAAACGGTTAACTAGTACTTACCGGTCAGTAAAAGATTAGACCGATATATTAGTATAAAAACTTAGTGGCACCTTAATGATTATCAACTGGCGTAAACAAAGTGAAAAATCTAAATAATTGATTTAACAATCTTCAAGTAATTCGAAGAGTACAACTGACTAACCGCTTATTCATTTAGCCCCTCGATTCTCAAAGAAAAATATAACACTACTGAACCCAATCTGAAAAAGTTCTACCATTAACATTTGTTCGATAGATAATTTACAGGGGAACATATATAAATGTATGATGTCACTGAATAATATTGTCATGATGACATGTACATATATATTTAACATATATTCATATTAAATTTGTTTAGGATTATCATATTAAAAGTCCTTAGTTTTATTGCAGGAGAAAATGTGCAGTTTAACCAAGCTTTCCATGATAACAATAATACTCTGAATAGCTGTCATGCTACCAACAAATCTGAGGATAAAAATATTAGAAATCTCTCCATTAATATTCCAATATAGGACTTACATAGCACTCTAAAGCGGATATAGTTAGGAAAACAGCATCGACTGCCGACATAGGTGTTCGATATCCCAAATGAACAATGAAAGATGGTAAAAATAGATCAGTTCGTGAAAGACTACGGGAAAAATATAATACAATGTATGTAAAAATAATTAGGCAGATAGGTAACGTTATTAAGATCTCATTAAACTATAAAAAGGGAACTTGTGGTTACAATTCAGTCAGCTGGAAATTTAGGTTGTGCAATAATCCTTTTTCAGCAAAGTTTGTACAAGTGATGAATAGATGATTAATTAAGTGTAGAATATCAACAAGTAAATTATTTTATAAGTGTGTGCTTATAGACAAGGAACGCAATATTAATACAAGCTGAATATGCAAGCAAGTTCCTAGAAGCGAAACATATAGAATAAGTTTTCCAACTTGGACTGACAACCCAGTCTTTGTACAAAATTAAATCGAAGATGAATCCAAATACGATACGACTTAGTGGTTATCAGATTAAATAATAATGGAAAGATGAAAGAACAGAAAACTAGGAAAACGCCAATTTAAATAACAATGTTCACGTTTGTTGGGTAAATCTAAAATTACATACCACGTTAACGAGTTAATGACAATGCATAAAAGGTTTAAATTTTCAGCTTGATAAGTTTAGCAAGAATACTTTGGGATACATTTTCGTCATCTTGATGAGATGACGAAAATAGACCTTATATAACTTTAGGTAACTGATGGTAATGACACGAAAATTCGTAAACATATATAAATTTACCTATTACGTACCAGTCAGTCAGTGAAAATCGACGTAAAGAGTAGCACAAAAGTGTCGTCCCAAGTTGTCATGTTGTATTAGCATAGTGGGATGAAAGTAACAGGATGACTAGCAACGAAGTAGGGATAATAGTAGAAGCGATGGTAGTGAGAAAAAATAAACATTAGAGAATTCAGTTTAAAATGGAAGAAATAGAAATAAGACATGAGTAGATACCCTGGAACCCAAAATCCTAAACGATATAACGAGTAAATATATACGTGGCACTACAATTGACGTTTCCAAACGCTGATTCCTGTTGTTGAAAGGACACTAATCAGGTAGTCTGAATCCACAAATATAACTCAGACCAACAGTAAATAACATTATAGACCGGTTCATGCCTTCATTTGGGCGCCCCTAGCTTTCCTCCAAAATACTTGTTCTACCCTCTTACTTAGTGTTATACCCACCATTGCATGAGAAATGGCCATTGGGTCACCAGATAAACGGAGGGTGCATCTCACCGGCTTTCCGTTTTGGCGAGGTGAGGTCAAGTGAATGACCACACTAGAATCCTGTATGCGTGTTTCGGAGACACAGCATACTTCAATGGTACGAAATTCTAGTGTTTTAGCCAAGGAAGCCTATTGGTCGATTTGTCATAGGCTAAGTACGTTGAAGGACCCGATGTGTAGTTAGGAGCGAGATTTCAGTAGACCTGGTACAGTATTTCGCTCACTCAAATTGTTGGCCATCGTGATACTTGAGGGGGAAGTCTGAATTCGCTAGTCGATGTAGGAGGAATAATATGAATTGGAGAGGGGAACTGATTATGAATAAAGCGATATTGAGTGCTGTTACACGAATCAGTCAGTCAATCAGTAACAACGTGGAACTTCGTATGTACGTACATCAGTTCGAGTTGCCATACCACATTAGCACAGAGATTCAGTTATCGATTCAAATCCCGTAGTGGCAGAGTAGTGAAAGTATAAGTAGTGACAGGGAACATTAGGGTTTGATGACGTTATTAAAGGAGTATAGTCCAGTGGAATAAATTGGGAAAGAAAATAAAGGACATGAAGAATTCAGAAGATTAGAGTTTGGGAGAACACAAAGAGTGGATGCACCTGCGCCATTGCAAACGATTTTTAGCCATGTCATTCAAGGTCTCTAACCATCGGTTGCTATCGTCTCGCGGTCCCCAACCAGGTAGTCTACATCTACCAACATGACTCAGTCCACTTGTCAGTGACTTCATGGATTTCTGCCATGTTTTGGTCTGGCCGCCTCTAGTTTTCTTCCAACCTACTCCTACACCATAAAACATAGCACATCGTGGCAGTCGGTGGTCTGGCATGAGCAACATATGTCCCAGCCATCTCAACTGATTAAGTTTCACAACTTCATCTATTGATTTGCCATCCTTACCTAGTACCCGTTTCCTAACAACTGAGTTACTTACTCGGTGGTCCCAGGATATTCGAGCGATGTTTCGAAGACACCTATGGTCAAATACTAGTAACCTACGAATATCCTCTACTCTTACTGGCCATGTTTCACTGCCATAAAGTAGGACGGAACGAACTGCTGCGCAGTAAACACGTCCTTTGGTTACTAGACGGATATCTCGCCTACACCACAAATGACGCAAGTTGGCAAAAGCTAGTCGAGCCTTCTGTATCCGTGCTGAGCTTTTGTTAGACAGCAAACCACAAGGGCTGATGAGACTTCCGCGACATCATAAGATCCACCCAGGTGTCTTGCCTTTTCGCTAAGTTTACCTACTAGAGCATTAAAGTCACCAGCCACTATTACTACATATGAACGCCTAGCTTTTCGGAGAAGGTCGGAAAGCTTTCTGTAAAACTCATCTTTTACATCACCTGAGCTGCAGTCAGTGGGAGAGTAGGCAGAGACGACGAACAGGTAACGACGAGTGTCCCTATCTTTTCGAGTCCTTACTGTTCCGTTTAGTCGGACAGCACACAAACGACTGTCTACTGGGATCCAGTCTAAGAGAGGTAGTTCTGCCCTAGGACTCAATGCTATACTTACGCCAGCGAGGCCACGGGAAGCAGCATCAGGGCTTCCAGATACACGAAGCGTAAATCGAGTTGGTTCGTTACTTTGACATGGTGCGATCAAATGAATGACACTACTAGATTCCTGTGTGCGCGTTTCGGAGACGCAGCACACATCGATGGAGCGAGATTCTAAAGTCTTAGCTAAGGAAGCCTGTTGTCCTATTTGACACAGTGTTCGGACGTTGAAAGCTCCTACGTGTAGTTTGGAGCGTGGTTTCAGGAGACCAGGAATAACGTTCCGCGTACTCGAATCGTTTGTACTAGTGGGGCGAGGTGATAAAGGGACGTAAGAAGGGTTAGTAGTGGAGATAAGAGATTATTAGGTGTAGGAAGGATTTGAATGGGACCAACTTGGTCTCGTGTGCTGTTACGGGTATGAGGGCTGATGTCACTACCCGGCTGCCCACACCGTGGAAGGGTATTTCTTGAGAAACCCGAAAAGGAAATCGGATTAGTGTTGGTCTTAGCGACCTGAGTGCGTGACCGCAGAGCCCAAGGGACAACTGCTTGAGGCCGGTCGCGCACGGCCTTTTTGTGGGAGGTTTTTAATGTGTTAGCTCCGTTCTCCAAAGGGCCTTACCGCCCGAGACGGAAATCCGTGGGGTAAGGTGAGGTGTGATATTTTTAGGGTCAACCTTTTCTAACCCCTTCCGTCCTTGTGAGAAGGCAGCATCTCTGCAGATGCTGGTTGACCGAGGGAAACACCTTACTGCTGTCACACCTCTGTACAGTCAGCAGTACGACTTCGCCCTCAGACCTTGAGTTGCTGCTTTTAGTCTTACCGTTCTCCAATCGACCTGCCTGGCATGGTAGAACCTGCAGGAACATGTGTTCCAGCCAATATAGCTCGGTTGGGTCATCACGATAGGCAAGCCCGACCACAACGTCAAGGTAGCAGCTACGGTCAGGCTGTTACAGGAATGGGAACAGTGATCACTTCCCGGTTCCCCACAACGTGGAAGGGTTCTTCTAAAGGTACCTGAAAGGAAAATTGGGTCAGAGTTGGCTTTAGTGACCTGAAAACGTGACCGAAGCGCCCAAGGGACAACTGCATCAGGTCGGTCACATACAACCTTTTTGTGTAATTTTTGTGCTAGCTCCGTACTTGTTGAACCTTAGCGCCGGGGACGAAAATCCGTGGGATAAGGTGAGGTGTGCACTTTGAGGGTCGACCTTTTCTAGCCCCACCTTTCCTTGTGGGAAGGCAGCTTCGCTGTCATGCCAGTCGTCTGAGGGGAAACACCTTACAGCCGTCACACCTCTGTACAGTCAGCAGTAGGACTTTGCCCTCGGACGTTGGGTTGGCTGTTTTTAGTCTTACCATTCTTCAACTGACCTGCCCAGCATGGCAAGACCTCGAGGAACGATTGTTCCAGCCAGTATAGATCAATTGGTTCATAACGATAGGCAATCCCGACCACCACGTCAAGGTAACAGTAATTTTCGGGTGACGGATAGTGGCTAGCAGTGGAATACAGGACCCGCGTTTTGTTCTTTTGGGGCCTCGTCTGCTGGGTATACCTGCATAACAGAGCTGATGTTCCCTCTGGGATTATAACCCAGCACCGTTCGCTTCAAATGCCATCGCGATATCCATATGGCTACTGGGTGATGTTGCTCAGAATCAACCACAATGGCGTACGTGTATACCCTCTGTGTATTCCCTCAAAACCTGAGATTAAAATTACTTTATACCTTTCTTTCTACGAACTAATTCTTTTTCCCTGCATAATATTCTTATACGCAATTTTTCTATATGTTATAACCATTGAAGTAACTGCTTCTATGAATTCGGTGTTCATCTTGGTGGGCTAATGAGGTATGGCAACTTGGACCGATGCACATATGTGCCTGGTCCCAAGTTGTAGATGACTGACTGACTCTACGTGATACAGATAAATGTAAAATACCGATTTTTAAAAATTAAGGATGCACATCACTTAAAATAAAATTTCCTTACTTCCCAGAACTAAGAATCTTAAAATAGCCAATCAAAATATCACTACGTCGAAATTCACTGATGACAAAAACAGACAAATTATATATATATATATATATATATATATATATATATATATATATATATATCCAGTAAACAGGAAATACACCTCTGAGTTCAGTTAAATATTAAAAACAGGTTATCCTACAAAACACTGAATTCTGGAGCATTATTGTTAACATTACTTAATCAGTGGTATTTAAACATTGAAGACAAAGACAAGATATGTTTTTGATAAACAAATGTAGACTCGTCAAAAAAATGAAATAACAATATATATACTCTTACCGTTTGTAAGTTATTTTAACAACAGAAAAAAACAACTATATGTAGTTGAATAAATTACCAAACACAATCCAACTAATTTAAACAGTCTCGTATTGATACCTAATAAAGCTAAAGAAAAACATCTACTTCTTGAAACAACCAAGACACTAAAGAAAGTGAAAAAATAAAATACAACAAAAAAGCTTACCCATATTTTTCACCATATTGCAAAAATTGTGCATTTAAACTATCACGCAAACTACTATTCATAGAAGAATATAACTGTGCACATTCACGTCGTGGCAATCTAAAAACAAGTTATTAAGAGTTGGCTCAATCATCCCAATTAAAACGCGCGTCAAGATTTTACAAAAATTTATTAACTAAACTCGACCCTGGATAATAGTTATTAAGTAAAATAAGTTGGAAATCAGCACTAACAATCATAAGCTAATACTAAAAATTATGAAACATGTGCCTTTAAATAAATGAAATGATGGGGAAAAAGTATCGAGTAATCCCTCATAACTACATGAGCATATAATAACTGATTAATTACATTATCAACCACAACTGAGACCAATGAAATTTCGTAAAAAATCAAAGGTCAAAACCATTTTTCTAGAGATTAATCTCTGCTAAGCCTATTGAATACAAGTGGAATAAGTTTAGTTAAAACCTGTTACGCAAACAGCAAATGTCAATGAAACTCTTACCAAAAAAAAGCCTTTGAAGAGTTCTGATCATATACAGTTAATGACAAACTGACAATAGACTGATTAGTACCAAACACAAAATACGACTAATGTTTTTTTTTATTTTAACACATAGATATCGGTACAAGAAGGCACCAAATACATATGCACCACAGAAATCTCATTTGATATGTGTGAGGGCTGTGATGCCCCCCAAATGCCCTGGTATGGCCAAGAGTGGGGAGGGTTCGCGCTCCCTCTCGAAATACTCTCACACGGCCACGCGTATACAGCCTCTGCCAGGGAAGTCCTACTCACTGCCTTCTCGTGGCGGGGGTGTTGTTTACGAAAATGAGAGGACGAAAAGCGAACGTCCGGCGCTATAACCGGATCCCAATTCTATTCTATGGTGCACATGGGCTCCAGTATCCTGAAGGAACAAATGGCGTATGAACCAACTTTTGGTCACCGGCTTCCATGGGACTGCATCTCCTCACGATGCTCCACTGCCTTGTGGACTAGACCTTTAGGTCAAAGGCTCGGGGTGTGGCCCCCTAAGAAAACCACCTGCTTCGGTTTGGGCACCCGGGCAGTATCTCAGCCCACACACTAAAACTATGATGAACTATCTGCTTATAGAAAATATTCGTTTCTCTCCGACTAACATTGAAATGACTGGTATTATTATTATTATTGTTATTTACAACGTCATTTATTCACTATCTCCTATTTCTACTTTTTGTATCCGTTTCGACTCAGACAGCAGCTCGCCTATGGTGGACGTTCGGCTCTATCTAAACGTTCTCGAGTCACTGCCTGGTTGAAAATTGTATGTTACTACCGAATATGAGTACTGAAGCAGTTTTTCTGAAACCACGTGCACCATTCAAACTGGCTGCCTTCAACGTTCGCACACTTATGCAGGTCGGACAACAGATAGGGCTGGCTATGTCTTTGGAAAGTCTTAATATTGATGTGTGTTGTCTATCCGAGACCCGTATTCAAGACTCTCGTGAAGTACTACAAGTTCGCTCTCCATCTGTCGCTTCAAAAAGCTTGTTTTATGTGCGTCTATCCGGGGACCCTGTGGCATCTTCGTCTGGTCTTGCTGGCGTTGGTGTCGCACTAAGCACAAGAGCTGAGGCAGCACTAGTCGACTGGATCCCCATTGACAGTCGGTTATGTGCTGTTAGACTAGACAGTTCCATCAAAGTGAGAAGAAATCGGCGTGAGAAACGATGTCTTTTCGTCATCTCCGCCTATGCCCAGACAGATTGCAGCCCGGATGCAATCAAGGACGAGTTCTACCACCAGCTAACTGTTCTTCTCCAGAAAGTGCGTTCGACAGATATTGTAGTACTAGCTAGAGACTTGAATGCTCAGGTCGGGCGTCTAGGCACAGAAGAGAGTCGTTTAGGTGGCCGATGGGGACTCGTTGATCGCAGGACAGATAACGGGGACCGTCTACTGAAACTATGCACAGACCACAACCTGTTTCTGGCTAACACTAACTTTCGGCACAGTCATCGCCGATGTGCCACCTGGCGTCCTCGTCCTGCATCTCAAGCCTGGACTCAGATTGATCACATCGCGATCAGCTACCGTTGGCGTGGTTGTGTACAAGAATGCTGTTCCTTGTGGAGTACCCATCTGGAATCTGGTCATGCTCTGGTCTGCGCCAATCTTACCTTACTTTTCAGTGGACAACGAAGTGACCGCCACCAAAGGATCGATGTTAGCAAGCTGGCTGCAACTTCTGTTGCTAGTAAGTACCGAACCGAGCTAGCTTCTAGGCTAGCTACCATTCCACCGAAAAGTATAGATGAGCATTGGTTGCAATTGCATCACGCCATGAAAATGGCGGGTCAAGTCAGTTGTGGGTTCGCGAAACGTCCTGCTTATAAGCACTGGGTTTCTTCTGGTTTCTTACAACTGATTGAAGCCCGTCGGTCTACTCCGGGTAACCGTGAGTTTGACCACAGACGAAGGATGTTACGTAATGAAATCGGGCAAAGCTTGCGTAAGGACCGAGAGGCCTGGTGGTCGGAGCGTGCCAGTGAGTTGGAAGCAGCAGCTGCATCTGGTAATTACCGGAAGCTCTTCCAACTCATCCGAGCCACTGGCAGCAAGAAGTCTGATGTGAGCGAAACAATCTGCGAGGATGACGGAACGCCAATCACTAACATCCATCGACGTCTTGGACGATGGGCAGAATTCTTTGAAGGGCAGTTCAACTGGCCTGCTGCTCCGGCAACATCGGTCAGACTGTCCTGCCCTCCATGGCCGGTGACGACTGATCCACCAAATGAGGCAGAAGTCCGCAAGGAACTCCAACTCTTGAAACGTTACAAATCACCCGGCCCAGATGACTTACCTCCGGCTCTTTTTAAAGATGGTGGTGACTTTCTGACTAAGGGACTGACGACGTTGTTTACAAAGATCTGGGAACTAGAGAGTGTACCAACGTCATGGAATGAGTCGATAGTTGTCCCTATCTTTAAAAAGGGTTCACGTCGTTCCTGTTACAACTATCGCGGGATAAGTCTACTTCCGATTGCGTCCAAACTATTGGCCTCCGTCATACTTCGTAGGTTGTTCAGAACCCGAGAAGGATTGACTCACGAGGAGCAGGCTGGGTTTCGTTCCGGTCGAGGATGTATTGATCATATCTTCACCCTCCGCCAAGTGTTAGAACACCGTCATACTTATCAAAGGCCAACAATCGTAGTGTTTCTTGACATCAGGGCTGCCTTCGATTCGTTGGACAGAACTGTTCTCTGGGATTGTCTATTGAAGGGTGTGCCTGAGAAGTTTATTAACATCCTATAAGCCCTATACACAAACACCTCAGGCAGAGTGAGAGCATACAATCACCTTTCTTCACTATTCCATTCAAGCAGTGGGGTTAGGCAGGGTTGCCCAATCTCACCATTCCTCTTCAACTTTGCCATCGATGACATTCTGGAAACAGCTCTGACGGATGTAAGTAATGGTGGTGTGGATCTGTTGCCTGGAGAAAGACTTCTCGACCTTGAGTATGCGGATGATATTGTCTTACTGTGCGAGAATGCCCAAGGCATGCAATCCGCACTTAATCAGTTGCCAATCAGTGTCCGTAGGTATGGTATGTGCTTTGCACCTTCGAAGTGCAAAGTTCTTCTACAAGACTGGCAGAAGTTCGTGTATCTAGGTAGCTGAAAAAGTGCTGGTGGTGGTGTGAGTGATGAGATCAATGCTCGTATAGTGAAAGTCAGAGCGGCTTATGCCAATCTGGGCCATCTTTGGAGCCTTCGTGATGTTAATCTGGCTGTAAAAGGTCGGATCTACAACGCGACGGTGAGAGCAGTTTTGCTCTATGCTTGTGAAACCTGGCCTCTCCGAGTTGAGGATGTTAGACGACTCTCTGTGTTCGATCATCGCTGTCTCCGAAGGATTGCTGGCATCCAGTGGCAACACCATGTCAGTAATGCAGAGGTTCGGCATCGAGTGTTCGGTCACAGAGACGATAATGAAATTGGTGTCACCATCTTGAAACACCGACTTCGGTGGCTTGGACATGTTCTACGAATGTCGTCCCAGAGAATTCCTCGTCGTGCATTATTTGCCGACTCTGGGACTGGTTGGAAAAAGCGGAGAGGTGGTCAGTATATGACATGGTGTCGTGGTATGAAAGAAAGCTGCAAAGGGCTAGCTTCTGTTGGTCCTTCGCGACTCCCTGGTTGGGGTCCGAGAGACGGTGTAACGCAGTGGCTAGAGACGTTATCAGATATGGCTCAGAATAGAAGCCAGTGGCGATCGTGCTGTAACCTTCTTTTACTTTCTTCATAAAAAGTGGTTGTATCTTCCTTAACTGAAAGATCTCTTCTGATTCTACCTTTCCGTTTCCCCCACCATTGTTCTCTCTCTCCCTTTTTTTATAATTCCCCACGTTCATTACTTTTTTTTCTCTTTTCTCCTTCTCTTCAAGTTATCATTGTTTTGTGTGGCGCATATATATTTGGTGCCCCCCTGTACCAATATTTATGTGTTCAAATAAATAAATAATTAAATAAGGGCTGTGATACTGTCCGGGTGCCCAAACCGAAGCAGGTGGTTTACTTAGGGGCCACACCCCGAGCCTTTGACCTGAAGATCTGATCCACAAGGCAGTGGAGCATCGTAAGGAGATGCAGTCCCATGGTATCCGGTGTTTAAAAGTTGGTTCATACGCCATTTGTTCCTTCAGGATACTGGAGCCCATGTGCACCATAGAATAGAATTGGGATCCGGTTATAGCGCCGGACGTTCGCTTTTCGTCCTCTCATTTTCGTAAACAACACCCCCGCCACGAGAAGGCAGTGAGTAGGACTTCCCTGGCAGAGGCTGTATACGCGTGGCCATGTGAGAGCATTTCGATAGGAGGAGCGGACTCCCCCCCACTCTCGGCCATACCAGGGCATTTGGGGGCCTATCCTACTAGTAGGAAAAACCACAGACCTTACTAGCTGTATTCACATCAGAATATTTGTTTCAGCAACCTGTAGGGTTTACAGAAAAATTATACTTTAATAGGCTGAAGCATCTAAGTGGAAAACAAAACTAACATAAACAGCTCCCGATATAAACGATTCGATGTTCAGTCAGTATTCGGAACAGGTTAATGAAAGGTTTAGATTTTTGAGGCATGAGCAACCCAAACATGTGACTCACAATGAAGACTAATTCAGAGCCGTTTATTTATGGTGTGTAACTCATTTACCAAGTACAGGTTCGGTTTTGAACTACATCGAGTGAATTTACAAGTTTTGTTTCAGTATTAAGAAACTGAAACTAAGCTATTGAACATTCATTGGTGCTGAGTTGTAAGAAAACACTGTGAATAAGTAGCAATTGCAACCCGGTGACTGAATATAAGTTCTTATACCAAACCTTAAGCCACACCTCTTAAATGTAATAAGGTACGCATATCCAACAACTAAAGTAATTATCATCATAACATAGGTTTGTTCATTCTTTTGACAGATACTGTGACTGGGAGACATGTCGTCGACTAAATAAAACAATTCGGTATCATAAAATCGTGCATTTCTATCATATAGGACCAGTGATCACAAAAATAATAACACTCAAGAAGTCACCACGAGTATGCTGTAAACAATAAATCTGTTAAGATGTAATCTATAAATATTCCTTGAAAATCAACACTTACTATGAATATTTGCTTAAATAATATTTGAGTAGTTGTGATTTTTTGATAACTGAGTTCACTTACCCCAACTGTACAAGAAATTCATACATACGTCGCTGTCCTCCTTCAGTAAATAGTTTGAATTTGGATGCTGTTACCATACTGGTCTCCATTGCTTGTTTTAAACTCCAATGTCTATAAAGCCATAGAGATAATTCATCTTCAAATAAAATTTCGATTCTTGCTTTATTTTCATCACTTGTACTTGTTCCAGAATGAATTTGACCAATATGACTTAAACGACTCATATGGCTTTGAAGATAGTCTAGTTGGTCAATATAATGTTCTCGATTTATTGCATGAGTGATTAGTTGAGAGGTTTGACCTACTATCGCATACCTTTAAAAATATGTATGAAAAATTTGTGACAAGTAAATACCACTTTTTATAATCTATACCATAAAGCTGAAAGCAAACGCATAGACATTAAACTTAAATTCACCCAGTGATTAGCATTTTTATCTTTTAACCACTTTGGTAATCAATTGTGATTATTTTCATAAATACTTTTAAATTAATCATATGATTATCTAGAACACCAGCATTAGGTTAACGTCGATCTTGTTATAAGGTATACATTAACCTAAACCCATGATGAAAAGCTGGTTGAAGAAATAATTCGTTACTTTATTTGCCTTCTGAAGTAAATCTTGTCAATACCTACAGCTAGAACACGATCATTATATTTGTCTAAGATAGAAATTCCACTGATTGCCGATCCACATATAAAACAAGGTGCACTTCCAACCACTGGCTAAGAAAATTATAATATTGATGAGGTGGTTACCAATCAATATATCAAGTGAACAGTATCATGCCGAAATCATCTTATTGTATAGTTCAATAGTTAATACATCTATATTAGAAATCCATTAGCATCAGATAAATACTCGAATGGCACAGAACTAGTGAATGAGGAATACCATGGTTTGAAATGAACTATCACGCAGGCTACTAAGGAACAGATGACATTTAGATGGCTAAAAACGTTTTGCTTAAATTACCAAGTTACATCTATTTGACTAAACTTGGTAGGAACGTCTTTACTGTCCTGAGGAAAGATCGACTGAAATCCAGTTATTACTTATTGTCTGAAACTGGAAAGCCTAGAATTGTGAAAATTCACAAGATCTTACTATAGGCAACCTGAAGAGTTATAATAACACGTAGGATTAATGGTACTGGTGCAGTTATTTTCGAGCTTTAGTTCATTCTACTGGAAACAGGGACTCCTGGCCCGTTGTAAACAGCAATTCCGAATGAGCCATCCAGAACTGCAACAACTACTTAGTAAGCAATATTGGACGAATCAAAAAACTTTTTATAAGGAATGAACAGCCATAATGAGACAAATTTATGTTTAGGTCCTCGAATGATGACTATGAAAAGTATTTCGAACCTTCAACTTGACAGTTGAGACTTAATCCATTGATCAAGATGATCTTATTGTAAGTATTGTTTGGGCTAGGAACTATATACACGTTTGTAGACTAAGCTGCTAATGCTATTCGTCGCAATACTTGATGACGCTAAAATCAAAGTAATCGATTTTATGTTTAAATTCCAGATCAAGAAGATGAGGTTTAAGCCCACATTTAACGGAATCGTGGTATTTTTTACACACCGAAATATTTCTAGGTTATGATTAACTCACTAGTCAGGGAGGAAGAGATGAACTAAACTTATACTTACAATAATCTTGGAACTAAATATTTAGCTGGTCCCACACACTGAAAACAATAAACAAGTAGTAAAACCACTGAATCAGAATTCATGTCAAAAGCTCCGTGGAAATCATAAAGCTTAACAGTATTTACAAAGAGTGCTCTATCAGTATTCTGGTGGCTCACCATAATAAGCAGTTGTTTTCCTGGGAGAGCTTCCAGGCTAAGTCAAACATGACTACAGACGAAGCAACACTATGGTAGGAAAAGCTCTCATAATCCATTAAAAGTTCTTGTCTTTTTCTATTCCATTTCCTTTTTTCTATTCTTTTTTCGATATCATCGGGTTGCAATCTTCTGTTCTGTTGCTCCTCAGAATCCTCATCTGACTCATCGCTCTACAAAATGTAGTCTGTCAAAAAAAAGTTACCGAGAACTCCCGAAACACGTCTTCGAATTTTGGCACTAGCGTGGTGTCTTCATTAAGACATAAGAGTTTAATCTGACGTTGGTTATAGAAGTTATTAATATGGATCGGACGGTGGCTAGACGATGGGAAAATATGCACGACGCTTACCTGTCGCAAACATAGAAGATGCATTCCTCTTGAGGATCTAAGTTACCAACAACATCGAAGTTTGCCCCACAATTTATAAACACTGCCGCCTGGAACTACGGTTTGTTATTTAAAACAGGTAATTATTAACCAACAAAGTCACGATTTTTTGAATAAGTCTCTTTTAAATCTCCCTTATCCTTTACAATCACAAGCGTGTAAAGCACATTTCGATGTTTGAAAAGTTCCTAATATAATATCAAATTCAGGAATGGATATACCTTCAAAACCCTCCATGTACACAAACCATCAACATCAGGATAAACACATACAAGAACTCTCTACAGGTCTAGAAGATTTCCAACTTGACTTACGTTTCCAACAACTTCTCCGTAGAACTCTGACCTTATATCTCGTAATATTACCATCACCAAAACCTACGTCCGTATCCAGTCAAGTTCATAGTGAGCGGTTTCAACAACAAATTGTATTCTCGTTTGGCCTCCTAAATTAACTATAACAGTCTTTATGATGAGTAAATATAAACCAACTAAATTATTTTTTCTCTCGTCAAGTAATAGTTCGATACACCTAGAAGAGAATTCTTATAAACAAATGGAAGTGAAATGAGAGAACAATGAAAAATAGAGCAATGTTAAGGACGTTGTGTAGGAATTTTTGGCTCCAATAGTCTCTTATCCCAAGCCTCTCAATACCCCTCCTATTGTAGAAGAGTAGTTCGTGATAATGAACATTATTTTCTGTCTCTCGTAAAGCAATATACTAATGGACGTTTTTAATCACGGCACATAAGAACGAGCTTCGTGAACACCTCACTCACAGAAATGAAAAATGAAACAGAACGTGAATTTGGGCCATTTTGTTCGTGGTTGTGCTGAGGTTCGCTTACGGATCCCCCACATATTTTTCACAGGGAATTGTTCTATTAGAATAACCCAGTCTATCTCTGAAAATATCAGTAGTGATTGACTTATTATGAGTTTTTATTCAACCAGGGAGGGATAGCGCCAATTGGCGAAATCAGTGCTCATACGGCCTGTCTGAAAATCAAAAAAGCCTTTTTGTTGGGTTCCCGCACCTTAATTACGATGGAATCAGATACTTTTTCACGAAAGTAGACATGATATTATCATGGTTTTCCTTAGTTTACAGGTCGTAATTTACGATCAGATCGGCATACCGTACTTCAGTAGAGAAAGAGAGCAAGAACGTGGACGTAACACACACGAATGTAAATAATATTACTAAGACTCGGAGTTACAAAGCTAACAATAGATAATCTCCTTCGGAAAAGTGTGTGGTCTTATCTTAAATTATGGTTGACACTGAAAGATTCATGCCCTTTACTAACAATCAATAATAATATATTCCCAAATAATAATGTTATATGAGGCATTCTAGTTCACAGGCAAGATCAAATTGTATCGTATCATACAGACTTCACTCTACTAAGCTACTCAGGTCGATATTTTATAAGGCACATTTGTCATAGAATCAGGGAGATAACACTCCTCACACACGAATATAAATAACGTTAGTAAGACTTCAACATTCAATATAAGAGTTAGCGCGTTTCATGGCGGTTGCGTTGCAACGTGCGACTGATGGTCGAGAATAGATCCATGTAAATTGAGAGCTCTCAGAAAACGCAGCTATATATCTTTTTGGAACATGTAAGGCACTATTGATGGTTTAGGAAGAAGTCAGCTGCTCCATATGTGTTTTCGGCCGCATATCTTGAGGGGGGCTGAAAAGAAGGGTGAGCAAAAAACGACGAGAAACAGAGCAGACTCAGTTCATTTGTGGTGGAATAGTCAAAGAATGTCCACACGGTCTACTTCTCTTTTATTAAGGTACTTTCTAGGCAAGAGCAGTCTAATAGGTTAAAGAAAACTAGTATAAATATAGTGTAGTGACCTACTTTTGTCAACAGAACACGATTGGTTTCATGAAAACAGTTATTATCATAACTAATTGTACAAGTGATCATTTTGCTGTGCTCGTTTGTTTAATTGTGCTAATGACAGCCGTATTGCCCCTTCATTGTCCTCCATTACATTTTTCCGCGGTTTGTGACTCTGCACGCACGTACTCCTTCCTGTCGATTCCACTTGTACCATTTTGGCACGATCTTGATATTCGTTCGATACCACGCGATCGCCAACGAATAAGCTTGGTTACAATCTTTTTTCGCCTTCTGATTTGTTTGGTACGCGCTCAACTTGTAGTGGTGTTCATAGTCAATCGCGACTCGACTCCACGCTACAATAGTATGAATGAACAAGGAACTGTCTTCAAAAAAGAAGCTGAAAGTATGGGATTATATGTAGTCTTTAATATGTAGTACTGGAAACAGAGTTCTGATACACAGATGTCTATCTCACTTGATCTTTTGAAGGAAAAAGACTATCGATCAACTCCAAACGAACGTTATGCTGTACATATCTACAAATAGTACTACCAGCCAACTGTACCTCGTAACGTTCTTTGAGTAGATTAATAATGGACAATCTTCATACTTCTGTTATACAAAACGTTTGTTCTGCTTCCAGTACAGTGTCCCTCAGCCACTTTGAGTGTATGAAATTTGAGCGAACGAGTGAACAAATATTTCAGCGTTTTTTGTGCTTACCACATGCCGTCTCAGTGGAGTCATTCATGTCGTGACCTACCGAATGATCATACTTGCATCACTCAGTTTTTTTCGCGTGCAGACGGATTATTCCAACTAATGTGCAGACGAAATTAGTTAATCTTTTTGCGGTTCTGTGTGCACACCTTTCCTTTTCAGTTATCATATGCAACATTGAGGTCGCCTCATGAAAATGTGTATGCCGGTATATATGAGTCTGCATGCTAGCACGTATTTCATGGGGAAAACTGTTTAGTCTCACCCTATAAAATTGAGTCAGCTGAGAAATAACGCTACATGTCGCACTTCCTATTGTTTGTTTATATAAATGAATATCTGAAGAAAGGTCTCACTGTTTCATTAAACCAGTGACCAAGTGGGTTAGCCTACATAAAGTATACAGAATAGAATGAAGAATTTGTTTTATTGTTCATTTATCACCAGTAATTTTGTAGTTAGTACGTGTGCATATGGAATCTGACGTGATCACTGATAGGATTTCGTTCATAAATATCACTCCAGTTATTTCACGCATAAGATACAAAATCAACTATCTGATCACCTACTTAAGGAAGATCTAATAGACCCGTCATTAGAACAAAATCCTTCAGTACATGTCCATTAGACCTTTTTAAGGAGGTTACTCGCTTACGTGACCAAAAGAAACTAGTAGTTATACTATATTTCGATACTAAGAAAACCTGTAGTAAAGTACTTCTTAATCAATAGACTTTAGTCATTTGGAATTACAAACTTCCTATTACAATGGATCAATACATTTCTTACAAACAGATACTAAATAGCCAAGATTAACTCTACAAAATCTACACCTCGACCAATAACCAGTGGTGTTGTGCAGGGTAGTGTCTTGGGTCCATTGCACCTTACAATCCACATTAACAATATGTGCAAGTGCTTTAGCACAAGTAAGACCTACCTTTTCGCTGAAGATTTGAAAGTTATCTATCAAAATGATATTTGCGATGTGCACTGTGCAAACAACCCAACATGAACTGGACATGGTAGACAACTGCTGCAAATGCTGGAGGTTAGAGCTCAACACAAAATAATGCGGCTAGCTGTGTATTGGAGACATTGCTCTTAAAATAAAACTAGAATTTAACGAGAACATACTGCCCAGATTGACAAAAGTAACTGACCTAGAGGTAAATTACTCGGACAGTCTTAACTTCTCTGATCATATCTCAACTAAAGCATCTAAAATGCGGAGATTGCTTGGCTTCATTCTTCGTAATTTTGTTTAAAATGTAACTTCAATCATTCTTTATCAAGTCTGCCTAAGATCTATCGTTGAATACTGTTCGTTTTTATCTTCCAACCTACGCCTATCCGATATACTTAAGGTGGAAGCAATACGAGATTTTACTCGCAAAATACTTAAGAACGACTCACTCATTGACTTCAGTTCCCGATGCCAAATCTTAAGACCAGAAACCTTTGGGAAAGAAGGATTGGGCTCAATTTGAGTCTCTGTTTCAAACTCTTCAAAAACCCTACTTATTTTACATGTAGTATAGCTCTTGCCCACGACGAACATGAATATGTACTTCGAGACAAAACTTCTTCCTCATTAAATATGCATCAATATGGAACAGTCTTGCCTCTGAAGTGCGCATGGCAAATGAATAACATACGTCTGTATGACTTATTGATCAAGCCCTCGCTTGCACAGATCTGGTACAAACGAACACATCTGCGAACCACACAAACATTACAGCATCTCTACATGTATAGAAAATTTTCCTTAATTTCCTACTTTGTATTTGTATTGGATACGTTTTCCTCCTTGATTTTTTTACTTGAAGAAGACAGGTAACTCACTGGAAATATCGACTCTCGGTCTCTGAGGGACGCTTGTAGAATTATGGTCTACTATGATATTTGCACTGCTCTAATAATAGACCTAATCCCACAGTTGTAGATTTGTTATGATGTAACTGTCTAATCTATGAGATCTTAGGTGGAAGTCACATCATCATCTACGTCGTAACAATTACCAATACATGATATAGAACAATCTTAGGCTAGAGATGGAACAATATATTTGATATGAATAAAAGATATAAGTAACATTTAGAAGGGACCACGCCTGCATGGCCGAGCCATGCCATACGATCAACTCCAACTTATTCAAATCATTGTCCCCGCCTTCTCCACTCTTCTGTATTTCTCCGCGTTAAATGTTTAATGTCTATTTCTCATATTGTTTCGTGGTAGAGCTCAGTGCCACTACACGCTCACTACTAACCTAGAAAGTAGAAAGAACCTCACAATCGACTGATACTACCAGTGACCTTGAATCTATAGAACCTGTTATCTATCGACCGGTTAGGATGGAACAAAATAACATCAATGCCATGTTGATGTGAGTTTCTTCTTGTCTATTCTGTAACAGCGTTTTACTTTCCACTACACTATGTTGACTTGCCATCAATATTATTTCACTACTCCTTACCTTATCTATAACTCACATATTTCTATACTTTTCCGTCTACTTTGGTGAACAACTTACTTACTTACTTACGCCTGTTACTCCCAATGGAGCATAGGCCGCCGACCAGCATTCTCCAACCCACTCTGTCCTGGGCCTTCTTTTCTAGTTCCATCCAATTCTTGTTCATTTTTCTCATATCTATCTCCATTTCCCGGCGTAATGTATTCTTTGGTCTTCCTCTCCTCCTTCGACCTTGAGGATTCCATATGAGGGCTTGTCTTGTGACGGAGTTGGGTGTTTTCCTCAATGTGTGTCCTATC